CGTCCCTGTGAGGCAGATGAATTCTAGTTAACACTCTATCTGCTTTGATTAGATTCATTGGTTCAATAAAAGATTCACCACTATTATTTAGAGTTTACCCCCCCCCCCCAAATCAGACATGCTGAAAAAGCATTGTGAAGTGATTTGCTTTCTACAGCTGGGTTCAAGAATTAAATGTTGGTTTTGGATTTCTGCTATTTTACCTATTGACCCTGGAAGTATTTCTACTGAAAGTCAGATAGTTAAGAAATTGGTTTCTGTGTTCTGGAGTCGTGGCCGTGCTGGAGAGCTGCTCGCGGGGGGCAACCGGTGGCCTCGGTAGGGCGTGAAGGGCGGAGCGAAACGCCCCCCTTCCCATGAGGTTTTAGTCGCCCCCACACTCCCGGCTCATACCTGCTGTCCACAAGGCTCCCATGTGGCCGCCATCTTTCTTTCCAGAGAGGAGAGGGCGAATGGGGCAACACCCTTTCCCCTCCGGCAGACTTGATGGCCTGGATCAATGCAGAGTCCGTTCACTTTTCTGCTCCAAGCTGCTGGGTTCTGCATTAAGTCCTTGTGCTTCTGGGGCCGTGGCCGTGCTGGAGAGCCGCTCGCGGGGGGGCGACTTGTGACCTCGGTAGGGCGTGAAGGACGGACCGGAACGCCCCCCTTCCCATGAGGTTTTAGTCGCTCCCACACCCCTGGCTCATACCTGCTGTCCACAAGGCTCCCATGTGGCCGCCATCTTTCTTTCCAGAGGGAGGAGGGCGGAAGGGAGCAACACCCTTTCCCCTCTGGGCAGACATGATGGCCTGGATTAACGCATAGTCCTTTCACTTTTCTGCTCCAAGCTGCTGGGTTCTGCATTAAGCCCTTGTGCTTCTGGGGCTGTGGCCGTGCTGGAGAGCCGCTCGTGGGGGGCAACTGGTGACCTCGGTAGGGCGTGAAGGACGGACCGGAACGCCCCCCTTCCCATGAGGTTTTAGTCGCCCCCACACTCCCGGCTCATACCTGCTGTCCACAAGGCTCCCATGTGGCCGCCATCTTTCTTTCCAGAGAGGAGAGGGCGAATGGGGCAACACCCTTTCCCCTCCGGCAGACTTGATGAGGGCCTGCCACTTTCTAACGCACGATGCCCTCATCGCTTGAGTAGGATGCTTTCCAAAGTCTTCCTTCTTACTCTCTCCTGCCATCAGCCCCAAGTGTTCAGTGCCCTGTGGGTACTTTACTCCCCCAACTGCCCAACGGGGCTATTGTTTTCCGCCTCAGAGGCCAAGTGGGATTCCTCACCGGCTGTCCTAGCCGCCTCCTAGCCGCTTTGAGGGGACGCGTTCTCTTCCTTCCTAATGTCGAGGGAGACCACGGAGGGCTCCCGAGGTAGACGCTGACTCAGACAGAGCAGCCTCGCCCGCCACTGACCACAGCCAGACCCCGCCAGCAGCAGCCCAGCCCTGCGGGGTTCCTCCACTCTGTGCTCGGGAAGCCACGTTCCACCTGCCCCAGCTCCCTCAGCAGGGAGAAGGGAGATTTTTCTTTTTTTTTCCTTCTTGGGTCACACCCGGCAATGCTCAGGGGTTACTCCTGGCTCTGCTCTCAGGAATCGCTCCTGGTGGTTGCTCGGGTATGGGTGGGAGGATGCTGCAGGAGACGGGCCCTGGGGCGGTGTGGTGCAGAAACATTGTTGCCACCAACTCAGCCAGTAACTGGAAGCGCCCAGGGCAGCAGGGAGGGCGCTCCTCCCAGTGACAGTACTATAAATCATGGCGCTTAAAACAATTTTTTTTAATAAAAGAATTTCAAGAAGAGACTTGTGTGATGTCGGCCTCCCGCAGAAGCGAGGCCACTGTGTGCTGGCCAGTGCTGCCCTCCCACCGACTCTGCCTTCCTTCTTTCCCCTGTGCTCAGCCGTCATTTCTCCGTCCCTAAATAATTGCCCTCCCATCCCCAAGAATGTAGCACTGTCCTCCTGTTGTGTTGTTCATCGATGGAGCGGGTCCAGTAACGTCTCCATTGTGAGTCTTGTTGTTACTGTGTTTGGCATATCAAATAAGTCACGGGGAGCTTGCCAGGCTTTGCCGTGCAGACGAAATACTCTCCGTAGCTTGCCTGGTTCTCCGAGAAGGGCGAGGAATCAAACCCGGTTTGGCCGGGCCGGCTGCGCGCAAGACAAACTCCCTACCGCTGTGAACGTTCCCCAAGAGTGAGTCTTCAGAAATGCTGTGACGTGAGGAGCCCGGCCCATCCCGTTTATAAAACGGATTTTGGAACGTGAGAACAGCCATACCCCTCGAGGAGATGTTCTCTGGTCCACTTTAAAGCTTGTGTGCTCAGAGCTGGTCTCGGCTCCACGCCAGACGCCTCGTTTGGCCCCAGGACGGTGCGATAAAGGCCCAGTGCCCCTGGCCTGGGCCACATGGCCAGCTCAGCTCAGCTGACCCGCTTCCCCGATGCAGGCCAGCTCCAGGGAAGGCCACGGATGCCGTGGACGGGAGCAGGAGACGGAACCGTTGGGACAGGGTGGGGCATCACCATGCCAGCGAGGTCAGCTGCGTCCCCGGCTGGCCCTCTGGAGCGGGTCCCGTCTAATATTTGCCTCCAGCCTTCTCCCCTTCGTAGGCAGGCTTGCTTGCTTGTTTGTTAGTTTGTGAAATATTCAAGTGCATTCCACATAATCCGGGTGAAACTGTGTGGTTAGTGGGAGTGTGAAGATATGTGTGTTTACCACACAGCTGGTAAACGCTGACATTGCACAAGGCCACCTGGGCGTGAGCCTCAGCAAGGCCGGGAGTGGCCCAGGAGCACAAAGGCAGGAGTAAGCCCTGAGCACCACCGGATGTGGCCCCAAACACAAGGATAGAATTGTTAGAAATCGGGACTGGAGCAATAGCACAGCAGGTAGGGTGTTTGCCTTGCATGCCGTCAGCCTGGGTTCGATTCCCAGCATCCCATATGGTCCCCTGAGCACCCCCAGGAGTAATTCCTGAGTGCATGAGCCAGGAGTAACCCCTGTGCATCACCGGGTGTGACCAAAAAGCAAAAAAAAAAAAAAAAAAAAAATTGTTGGAATTCAATTGAACAGTCGCAACAGAAAGATGTGCTGTGTTGACTGTTATCAGTGCTCTAACCGTCCTTCAGCCCAGGCATGTGCTGGCCAAAGTAAAATTGTAAATTAAAAGACTCTGATCAGTCTCTTGAACTAAAAAAGAAGAAAGCAATCGTTTTCCAAAAGAGACCAACCCGCACCGTCTGTATGGAATGGAAACAAGAGTGGGTTTTTTTGGAGGTTTTTTTTTTTATTATTAAATAGAACTTTGTAGGGAACTCTTGAGAATTTCACAGTAAACCTTAGATAAATATTTCATGTAACATCTTAAGATGCAATCATTTATAGTAATTTTAGTGCTCTGATTTCTGTTTGTTTTCAGATTTGAGAAAGCAAACATTTTCTCTGATGATTTCTATCTGGGAGCTGCCAATCGAGGCCAATTTCACGAGGCTTCTCCTTAACAAATGAATGAAGGCGGCTAAAAGGGAGCAGCCCCGCTTCCTTTTCCCGCCCGCCTCTCTCCAGGCTCCAGCAGGGCTGAGGGGCCTGGCCTGGGTCATGCCCGTGACCCGGACCACGTCTGGCCCTCGGCTGACTCCCACCCCACCTGCCTCCTCCATCCTCCTAGAGCCTTCCCCAACACGGCGATACCCCCATCCGACTCCAGGTTCTGAGTACCGACAGGCCTTCAGAGGGTTCTAGCTCTCCCTGGGCTGAGGGGCACAGATTGGGGTGTACTTTGGGTCATATGTCTGTGGTTTGGGGGCTCCCTGCCCCAGTGTATGTCTGTGGTTTGGGGGCTCCCTGCTCAGTGTATGTCTGTGGTTTGGGGGCTCCCTGCCCCAGTGTATGTCTGTGGTTTGGGGGCTCCCTGCTCCAGTGTATGTCTGTGATTTGGGGGCTCCCTGCCCGGTATACGTCTGGTTTGGGGGCTCCCTGCCCCACTGTATGTCTGCGCATCAAGCAGACAGTCACATTCGTTTGCATGCTGGTGATGGGCAGAGTGGTGGACCTCTCGGCCTGCCCCCACTTGGGGCCATGATGGGGTTCCTCTTTCCTTGGGAATAAACTCCTGCAAGCGCCCCCTCCCCTTGGATCATGCTCAGTGTCACGGGGCGTGCAAGAAGTTTCCCGACCCTCTAAAGGCGGTGTTTGAGGTGGGCAGGTGGAAGGGGCTTCTGCCGGGCCCCAAGGAGGCCCAGTGGCACAGGTGCCCTCACGGCCATCCGGGGATAAAGCTCTGGGAGGGAGATGACCTGTTCGCCCCGTCCTGGGCCGTGCATAGAGGTTATGACAAGTGCCAAGAGGGAGGTGAGACTGTCCCCCTGGGGGGTGGCCTGGACGAGCCCCAGGGAGGCTTTGTCCAGGGATGAGCCCAGTGGGACCTTGTAGAAGCTGCTGGAAGGGTGTGGAGAGTGGTACAAAAGAGAGGAAGTGCCCAGGGGAAACTGGGGGTGCCGCAGGCAAGGCAGCGGGGGCACCCCCAGAAGACTCATGACCACACAGGGGCCTGCTCTGCCCTTGGGCCCCCTGGTCGCTTGGGGAAGGGGCAGCTCAGGGGGACTCGGCTGGGTCTGGGGGTGCCTCCCCGCACTCCTTTTCTCCTTTCCCGCTTCCAGTCGGCCCTCCCCTGAGGGTCCCAGGTGCTAGTGAGAATTCAGTGAGGACACAGGGCCCCACGCACACCAGGGATAAGGATCTAGAGATGGTTCTTTCTTTTTCTTTTTTTTTCTTTCTTTTTGGGTCACACCCGGCGATGCTCAGCGATTACTCCTGGCTCTGCACTCAGGAACTACTCCTGGTGGTACTCGGGGGACCATATGGGATGCTGGGAATCGAACCCAGGTCAGCCACATGCAAGGCAAACGCCCTCCCCGCTGTGCTATCGCTCCGGCCCCTGGAGAGGCCTCCTTAGGGACCCCGACTCTGCCTCCCCGCGGCCCCGCGCTGACCGCTGCCCCTTTTCTCCTCGCAGGGTTCATGGCTGGCTCCCAGAGAAACGCTCCGATGGCTCAGTACGGCCCCCAGCAGGCCGGGCCGTCCATGGCGTCCCACCCTTCTCCCGGCGGCCAGCTGCACCCCGGGATCAGCGGCTTCCCACAGAGCAACTCCAGCGGCACTTACGGTCCCCAGATGGGCCAGTACGGACCCCAAGGTAACGCTCCAGCCCCGCCCCACGCGGCCTGGTTGGTGTTATTTGGGTTTTCTGTTTGGGGGCCACACCCTGTGGTGCTCGGGCCTCACTCCTGGCGGTGCTCGAGGGACCCTCTGGGGTCCCGGGGACCAAACCAAGGGTGCCCCATGCCAGGCAATCACCAGGCTGCCTTTGGGCAGCACCTCAGGGTGGGCCTGTGGTCTGAGGCTCGGAGGTGGCTTTGTGCGTCCCCTTCACAGAGGGGGACTCCACGGGCCCAGGGCCGCGTCACCCCTCTCATGCGCGGGAGGCTAGCACCCCCTCCAGGAGAAGGGGGCCGAACCGCCTGGGAGCCGCAAGAGTTCCTGTCGCCAATGTGTCAGACCCTCTCGGCCAGGGGGTTTTTTCACCTGCCGCTGGGCCTAGCTCCCAAGTCACGCTTGGCGATCAGGCGTCTGAATGAATGTGGCGCCTGCTTCGAGTCTGGAGCCGACAAGGTGAGCCCAGCCGCACGGCCCTGAGTCGGCTCTCCGGAGAAGGCAGGAGCCCAGAGAATGCACGACCGGGAGGGCCTTCACGTGTGTTCTGCAGATGGCTCCGTGGAGGCACTCAGCCAGCCAGTGAGGCCCGAGGAGGCCTCACTATAAGGACACTGGATGCTGTCAGCTGTCAGGACACTGGATACTGTCTGAGCTATCAGGACACTGGATGCTGTCAGCTGTCAGGACACTGGACACTGAGCTGTCAGTATACTGGACGCTGTCTAACCTGTGAGAACACTGGATGCTGTCTGAGCTGTGAGGTGCCGTGGCCTTGGTGCTCGTGGCCTTTGAAGGTCCCAGAAGAGACTGGCCCATCAGTGCTGCCCCGACCATCCGACTTTGACAGAGGTGCCAAATACATGCATTCACATAAACACACGCAAGCTTATGCACACTCATGAATGAGCATGCATACACACGCTCATGTCTACACACGTTTATGAGCTCACATGTGTTCTACATATACACACATTCATACATGTACATATGCACACATGCACGCACATTCACACACTCACATGCACGCTCATGCCCACCTCCTCACACTGTCAGGGCTGGGGCAGGGGCAGTGGTAGCCGGGTGCCTTCCCCCACATCACTCACGCCCCCAGTCACTCGTTGAGATTTGCCGGGGCAGAACACATGTGACTCCGGTCCGGGGGCACCACCAGGTGGCCTCAGAGACCCTCACAGAGACCCCAGGAACCGAGCAGAAACTCTCCAGACTGCGTTTAGCCTCGAAGGATCCGAATCACTGACTCTGTGAACAGTGTAAACGTACAAAGGCCATTTCATTGAAGAGTGGGGTTTTTCCTGCTTTCCAGCACACAGCAGATCCGCTCCCTTTCATAGGGTGTGCGCAGGGTGAGGCCACGGAGCGGTGGGGTACGAAAGCAGTGACCGCCCAGGCCAGCCCTGCGGGAGCCCTGAGAGAGGGGCTTCCGGTCACATCCCCCCACGACTGTCCTCACGGCTTGTCTTCCCTCTCTCTGTCCCCGGACTGTCTGCAGACATCACTGACAAGAGACGTTAGGTGGCGCATACTGGACCCACCCGCCGGTGCCGGTTTCCCGTCACTTGTTAGCTTGTGTCTCCCTATGAGCCTGGCAGGCGTGCAGCCAGGTTTTTGCCACTTTCCACGATGCAGGTTGTGATACGCTTGATGTGTTTGCGACTTCTTCACGGTTCCCCTCTCCTGATTTTAAAGTCAGATTCACAGTCCAGCGCAGAAGTGCTCATGCCAGTCCACACTGGTCAGTTATTAAAGACATACACTAAGTACCAGGGCCGGAGTGACAGGCAGCGGGGCGGGCACAGGCCTTGCACGGCCAACCTGAGTTTGATCCCCAACACCCCAGATGGTCTCTCGAGCACCACCAGGAGTAATTCCTGAGCACAGAGCAAGGAGTAACACCTGAGCGTTGCCAGCTGTGCCCCAAAATGCAAAAAAAAAGAAAAAAAAGACCACTAAGTTCCTGTCTTGCTAGCATCAGGGAAAAAAGTGAAGTAGGAACACATACATTGAGACCGTCTTTTTGTGCTCAGTTTGAACCATCGGGATACAAAATTTAGTGTGAATTTTGCTTTTAAAAACTGCTGTTTTAGGGGCTGGAGCAATAGCACAGCAGGTAGGGTGTTTGCCTTGCACGCAGCCAACCTAGGTTCGATTCCCAGCATCCCATATGGTCCCCCGAGCACCGCCAGGAGTAATTCCTGAGTGCATGAACCAGGAGTAACTCCTGTGCATCGCTGGGTGTGACCCAAAAAAGGGGGGAAAAAAAAACCTGCTGTTTTATCCAAACCTGAAAAATTGGGAAAGAAGTGAGAGGGAAATGACATGAATCATCCTAAAAGCTTCAAGCGGAAAGAGAGCTGGAGACCCGAAGTCCAGGGTCTTCTGTCATGGCCCTGGGACCTCTCTGCTTTGTGCTCTGTGCTGCTGCTCTCGCATGGCCATATCTGCCCTCTGCCCTCCCAACCAAGAACTTTGCTTTTCCTCATTGACTGCCAAAAGCCCAGCCCCCAACACAGAGCTGACCAGGGAAGGGAGAAAAGGGGGTGCCCAAGAGCTCCGTGAAGCTTGATGGCACCAGACTTGCTCCTCAGAGCTCAAAAATTATTTTGGGGGCCAGAGAAATAGACCAGTGAGAAGGGCACTTGCCTTGCATAAAGTCCATCCAGGTTCGATCCCCGGCATCCCGATATGGTCCCCCAAGCATTATCAGGAGTGATGCCTAAGGACAGAGCCAGGAACAACCCTTGAGTTTTGCTGCGTGCGACCAAAAAAAAAAAAAAAAAAAGAAAGAAAAGAGGAAGAAGAATTATCTTTGGTAGCCAGAAAGATGGCTCAAGGGATAGTGCTCATGCCTCACGTGTGCTGAGCCCTAGATTTCATCCCCAGCACTGCATGCCACTCCCCTGCCTTGCTGGGCCCCAGCCGCCGCTAAGAGTGACCCCCTCTTTTATAAAGTGAGTGGTTATCTCTGGGCAGTAGAACTAAGGATCATGGTACGTCTCGACTTCCTGCCCTGAGTCTGCGTTGCTCTGAAATCAGACCGTGGGGGAGCTCACCTTTATAGCAACTGCCCGGAAGCGCCCAGAAGAAAGGCCTGGACACCGTTCCCTCGGGGTCTCAGCCCGCTCACAAATCTCCATGCTTGGACTTCCTTGGAGCACCATGTGACCTGTGTGTTGGCGAAGTGACTGCCACGCTCACACCTGCACCTGTGGGAATGTGCAGCTGGTTAGTGACGTCCGGTGCCTGGCTGGACAGATGGACATCTTCAGGAGGCTCGAGGCTCGGGCAGGGCTTCTTCCTCTTAAACCTGCCTCACGTGAGCGCCCCCCTCTCCTCCTTTCTCTGGCCAGAAGAAATCAAACAGATGCCCGCGTAAAGGCCCCCCGTATCGCACCCGGCCTCAGGCATGCAAGGCAGGCAGTCTCGGCTCATGCGCCTGCGTGGATGGCGTCCAGGCACACGGTGCCCAGCGACTGGGCTGGGGCCACCCTTTTCGTGAGCCGTCAGCACAGCCCTCAAAGTGGGGACACCAGGAACAAGAGCGCAGGAGGGGGGGGACCGTGGACCCGGTGAGCAGCCTGGGTCCTGGCTGGCTAGGGAGGGCGGGAGGAAGCTTATGCTGGTTCTGTCGCTCAGTGTCCTGGCAGAACGGCACAACGGCGCAGGGAGATGGAAAGAGGCGAGTGCCGTTGGCTAAACGACAAGGTGGCACACACACCCATGCTCCCCGCCACGTGCAGCCCACCGGCCCGCCCCCATAAAGTGCCTGTCCTGTGGTTCACGTGCCTTTCTACCCTTCTTCCGTAATGCCGGGCCGGGCTGCATTCACTCTCCTCATCACCGTTGAATGCAGCAGAATTCCCCGCGGGAGGGGCAGTGTTTGGGAGCCCGAGGTGGGTGGCAAGCTGGGATCCCTGGTTTTGCGGTTGCCCATTCGGGGGTCTCCTTCCCCGCCGCCCTCCTGGAAGAAGGGTCTCGACCCTGGGGGTCCCCAGAGCATCACACCTGGCGACTCAAAACCTGAAGTTCACGCGGTGACCAGTTGCCAAGGCGGCCATGCCAAGAGGGGCCCACTGGGAAACAGGGTTCTCGCGCTTGGCGGCCAGGCCGCGGCCAGCTGAGGTGGGTGGACAGCTGCCTCGGACTCGCGCACATGGGTCCATCTGCTTCCTGTTGCAGCCTCTGCCAGCATATGACTAAGCCGTGAGAAACACGGTATACGGATTGTGCTTCCCAGCGTGCTGCTCCTCTCTGGTGGCTCCTGGCGTCCTTGCTTGGTTTCTGTTTATCTGGAGGCGAAAGATCTTGCCGTAGGCCTGGGTGGGGGCCGGGACGCGGGCGTCTTGGCCCACCGTGATGGGAGAGGCAGGTGGAAGGTCGCGTCTCACGCCCCTGTTGCCGGCCGAGGTGGTGGTGGGCTGCCCTTTGCCGTGGCTCGGCCTGGCCCCTGCACGGGCGCTTCCTGCCAGGTCCCTGTGTCCCCGCCGGCCAAGCCTGTGTTCCGAGGGGTGAGGGCCCCGGCCGCCGTCCAGCCCAGGTTCTCAGCCGCCGCCCGTGAGTCGTTCGGGTTTCCAGAGGGGAACGGGGAAACTCTGTGCTGTCATGGACTCAGACGCTTCCCTCACTCGTGACTTTGCTGCCTGGCCGACGGCAAGGGGCCCACAGGGGCCCAGCATCCTCCTTTGAGCCGCATGGCGGGCACAGGGGTGGGGCTCCCTGCGCCCCACCGCAGATCAGGCGCTGCCCCTCACCTAGCGTGTCCACAGACACCCCCCCCCCAGGCCCGGGCCCCTTCTCCCCATGCCCGCTCAGGTGGGCTCCCGTCGGTCATGGAACCCTCAATTCCGGCACCCCCTTTCCCTTCCGCCCCCTGACCTAGTCTGTCTCTGCTCAGACACAAGGTGGCCACCCATGCGGGACCCACACAGGGTATGAAGGTGGCAAAATGTCTGACTGCAGTGACGGGTCACCCACGGCCGCAGTGACCACGACTTTCATCCAGAATCAGCTGCGCCGTGTGCCAAGGGGTTTTTAGCCGGAGTTTGAAGGTGTCCGGAGTCTGCGGGTGGCCCTGTTGGAGGCACCCCAGCTCTAGAGGACCGTGTCCGGAGGTGGGGGTGCTTGCGCCTGTGACCTCCCCCTCCACCCTGCAGAAGCCCAAGTCTGGGTCCCGGAGGTGGACGCACCCCCGCGGCTCTGGCTCTGGACAGTCACCACAGAGCATGTGTCCTGGTGCCATCAGGCTCATGGGGACAGTGGGGGGCACCGGGCAGGGCCAGCTTCCTGCCCGGGGAGTGAGTTTGCCAGGAGGCACTATGACCACCTCCACGTTACAGGGACCCATCTGGGACTGTAAGTGATGCTTTATTGGGACTTGGGCGCCCTGGTGCTCGCTGACTCCACTCTGTGTGTCTGTGTGTGTGTGTGTCTCTCTGAGTGTACATCAGAAAGAGTGTCTCTGAGAGAAAGCGTAGGTGTGAGTATGTATGTCTGTGTGTGTCTGTGTGTGTATGTGTGTGTGTGTACCGGCCCTTTGCCCTCTGCCTGGGTATAGGCTGCTCAGCTCGGTGAGGGCCTGCGTTAAGGCCCTGCGTGAAGTCTGCTTGCGCTGCCCACTGAGGTAGAGGCTTGGAACTGCCCCTCAGGGACCAGAGAGGCCAAGCTTTACCCTCTGGGCAGGTTGTTCCCAAAGGAAAAGCCTCTCAGGGAGGAGGCAGGCACCTGCCCACGTGCACACACACACACACACACACTCACGGCCACACACTCACTCATGCACCATCTCACATACACACAAGTGCTCAGGCAGGAGCTGCTTGCACGCGAGATGATCTTTGCTTCTCTTCGTGTATATGTGTGTGTGTGTGTGTGTGTGTGTGTGTGTCCCACCCATCACAGGGACTTGGTGAGAAAACTGCAGAGACACCAGCAAGTTCCCGAGTCTGTCGTCCTCCGCCCTTGCCTTTGTTTGGTGCCTTGTCTGCGTGTGGTAGCCTCCGAGAGGGGCCCCTCTGTGGACTGGGCACTGTGCTCGTGTGGTCCCACTGGCGGGCTGGGGGCGTGGGACCTCGCGGGACCACACGGGCCTTTCTCTGCCGTGGAGCCGGGGCCCCAGGCGGTTCTTGGCTGGGGGAAGGTGCAGGGGCACGTTTGGAGCTGCCCACCTGGTGAACGCCCACTGGGGAAGGGGCCATGGGCAGGATGAGCCGCAGCCCGGCGCCAACCCCAGCGGGGGCCAGACACGTTTCTGGGGAGGCATTTTCGCGAGCCCCAGTGTGAAGTGAAAGGCTTTAATTGGTGGTTTTCTCTCTCTCGTCTAGGTAACTACTCCAGGCCCCCAACATATAGCGGGGTGCCCAGCGCAAGCTACAGCGGCCCGGGGCCTGGCATGGGCATCAATGCCAACAACCAGATGCATGGACAAGGGCCAAGCCAGCCGTGCGGTGCTATGCCCCTGGGCCGGATGCCACCCGCCGGGATGCAGAACAGGCCATTTACCGGCAACATGGGCAGCATGACCCCCGGTTCGCCCGGCATGTCCCAGCAAGGGGGGCCAGGAATGGGACCACCCATGCCGACCGTGAACCGGAAGGCGCAGGAGGCAGCCGCCGCGGTGATGCAAGCCGCTGCCAACTCGGCCCAGAGCAGGTATGCCGGTGCGGCGGGCAAGAGGGGCAGGAGGGTGTCTGCAGGTACCCCGGGGTCTCCCACGAGGAGGCTCCTGGACTGGGTCTTGGGGAGCACCTTCCCTCCTGCCAAGGCTGGCCAGGGCCCGGGAGGCTGGGAGTTGGGGTAGTGCCGTGGCCACGCCCATGGGGGTGGGGTTGCGTGGGGCCACACCCATGGGAGGCAGAGCAGTGGGGGTGGGGACAGCCACACGGGCACAGGGTGTGGAGGTGGTCTGAAAGTCATGGTTGCAGGCCCATGCCAGGAACAGCGAGTTAAGACAGAAAATTCTGCAGCGCTGAAACCTGAAACAAGTTAAAAAAGGATCCCCCAGCCCCAAACCCTTTTTTTTTTTTTTTTTCTTTTTTTTTTTTGCTTTTTGGGTCACACCCAGCGATGCACAGGGGTTCCTCCTGGCTTTGCACTCAGAATTACTCCTGGCGGTGCTCAAGGGACCATATGGGATGCTGGGAATCGAACCCGGGTCGGCCGCATGCAAGACAAATGCCCTCCCCACTGTACAGCACCCGACCCTTTTTTTTAAATTTATAAACCCTTCCTGGAGCGATAGCACAGTGGGTAGGGCGTCTGCCTTGCACGCAGCCAACATGGCCGACCCGAGTTCGATTCCTCCGCCCCTCTCAGAGAGCCCGGCAAGCTACCGAGAGTATTCGATATGCCAGACACAGTAACAACAAAGTCTCCAATGGAGACGTTACTGGGCCCGCTCGAGCAAATCGACGATCAACGGGAGGGCCTTTTATAAACCCTTCCTGAAAAAACTTTCTGAATCAGGATCATTGTGTGTGCACATACACGGACCGTGTGTACCGTGTGCTTGTCTCAACGTTTCCGTGGGAGGCCTGGCTGGGGCTGGCAGGGTGCCCCGTGTGGGTTTGATCCTGGCTTGGAACATCAGCTCCAGAAAGCCCAGGCTTGGCCTGTTTAAAAGTGACATACCTGACACTGAGAGGCAGAGAGCCTGTTTTAAGAGAAGCGTGTAAAAATACTTTCAGAGGTGTTGAATCTATGTGAAAGTGCTTTAAAACAAAGCACATGAGAGATACAGTATCTGCAGAAGGAAAGCTGAAAAGTTCCGACCTGTCAAAGGGAAAAGCATGCGCCCGCGTGTGTGTGTGTGTGTGTGTGTGTGTGTGTGTGTAAATGAATCCTTTTGTTTTCATTTCCGGTGACCCTGCTATTTGGGGAATGTCAGGGACCCCTCCAAAATCACTGGTTGCTCCGAATAGTGATAAATTTCCCTTGAGGAATTAAAAGTGAAAATCAATCTTTCTCCCCCTCTCCCGCCCCCTCCGCTCCCCGACGTTCCAGTTACTTAAGAGCGCCTGAACTCCCACGCCGCACCTCCGAACGGGGAACCTCTCCGGGCTGGAGGGAATGTTTTAATAAACCTGTCGGCGAGGCTGGTTTGGCTGGTCCAATTGAAGTTCTAATTTAGGCGTAAATGAATTGTCCATTGTTGCAACTCATAAAGCGCAAGTTATTTTCTGTGTAAGTAGAAAGTGCTTGATTGCATTTGACACGAAGCCTCGGATAGCAATCTGGAAAGAAGATAACCATGGAGATTAAAGCATAATTCTATTTGATTAGAACGTCTTGTGCCGCTCCCTTTTTAAGCCGTTGAGGTGGTCTCGTGTATCAGTGACCGCGAGGGGCGGCCCTCCACCCCCACCCCGCCTCTCCCCTTGCCCGCCAGGAGCGTGGCTGGGTCCCAAGCCTGACCTTCCGCATCCTGCCCACCGGCTCTCTCCTCTGGGGGCCGGGGCGACTAAGAAGGGGGCTGTCAAATGTTTTAGCTCCCTCCGCCCAAACAAGTTGAGATCCAAGGCTCTTATTTCCCTCGCCTCTGCCCCCATGCTCTTGCTTCTTTGGTTTTTATTTTTTATTTTATTTTATTTTTTGAGAATTGCACGCGCGGGCAGCCGCGTGGCCCCAAGTCTGCTCCGACCCTTAGCCCCGATGCTGAGTGCAGAACCCCACCGGATGGGGGCCTCGTCCTGGGTTATAGAACAAATCCAGGAAAGGTCCTTCTGTTCCCCTCCAGGCTACCATGCCTTAAGTCGCCCACTTCTCCCAGCCTGTCTGGGGCAGGCAGGTGGCTCCCCTCCCCCCCGTTTTCTTGCCAGCACCCCAACTCTGGCAGCTCTCAGCCTCCCATGACAGGACCAGCCTGACCAGTACAGGCAGATCGCAACGTGCAGGTCGCAGAGTGCCGCAGGATTCAGGCCTTTGCTGGGAGCTGTCACGGGGCGGGCATCTGGCTACCCGGACCACCCCGACCTGGAAGTGAAACCCCTACCCCCCACACCCCTGCGACCCCGGGATGCCACTTCAGGGGGGCGAGAGGCACAGTGCTAGGTCCCATGGGCAGAGCCCCACATACTCAGGGAACAGGAAGCTTCCGCCCCTCTCCAACACGCATTGAAACCACGTCACTGGCCACCCCCTTCGCAGCCGTCCACAGGGCCCATGAGGGTCCTGAGGGTTCCACCCGGCCAGCGCTAAACAAGCACCGCCCAGACCCCTCCACCCCCCTCTCCCAGCACCCCGAAATACAAGCAGATCATCCAGCTTTTCTCTGCAAGTGTGTGTGTGTGTGTGTGTGTGTGTGTGTGTGTGTGTGTGTGTGTTTTGCTCTTTATTATCAGCAGTTTCCAGCACAGGAATTACTTACAGCACCCAAAGGTATCTCTGTGCTCTGTTTCCTGCCGGGGGGGGGGGGGGGGGGTGGGAGGGAGGCACATAATATCAGGCTGTCACTTTTTTCAGGTGATAATCGTTCAGAATATATTATTATTGAGTGGCTTAGTAGTAGAAAAAAAACCCACACCTTGATCTCACTTTGCATATATAAAGGATGGGATCAGTGTATGGGCTTCCTGTCTGGGCTTCCTTCTTAGTAGAAACGGACCGCGTTTTTTTTGGTTAAGATAAAACGGGGAGCAGCCGCCGAGGCTCCTGTGAAGAACTGTGTGTTCACTGCTCGTCACCAGCGCGTGGCCCAGGAGCAGCTTTTCAGTCATCTGAACGTTCGCACATGTTCATCTGAGCAGCCCCCGCGTGCTCGGTCCTGCAGACCCAGTCCTGGACGGGAACCCACGGACACAATTTTGCCAACATCAACCTACACGTTGGGTTGGAGCGATAGCACAGCGGGTAGGGCGTTTGCCTTGCACGCGGCCGACCTGGCCAGCCCAGGTTCGATTCCTCCGCCCCTCTCAGAGAGCCCGGCAAGATACCAAGAGTATCTCACCCACATGGCAAATCCTGGCAAGCTCCCCGTGACATATTCAATATGCCAAACACAGTAACAAGTCTCACGATGGAGACGTTACTGGGCCCGCTCGAGCAAATCGATGAACAACGGGAGGACAGTGACGGTGACAGCGACAACCTACACTACACGTGAAGGAATCTGAGAACCAGGCCATGGGGGTTGCTGGGGGGGGTGAGGGGGTTGTCTCTTTCTCCTCTTCCTTCCTTGTGCGACCCCCGCATCTGGGAGGGGCGCTGGCTGTGGGGGGTGAGAGTTGGCCGGCTGCTAAGCCACGGGCCTGCCCTCCTCGGGCACAGGAGCCCTGTTTAGCCCCACAGAGCTCGCTGGCCGCTGCCTTGCCAAGCCACATTAAGCAGCTGTGTAAAATGAATTTAAATGGCGTTCATCAGAGTGAAATCTCCTCCACTGGGGCAGAAAATCAATGTTAGCTCACCAGCACGAACAGCTCTGAGCTGCGCTTCAGCCAGCAGCGCCCAGATCGCCCCCTTTGAAGGCGGCCGGCGCCGTGTCCGCGTAAATCTTACCAAGACCCTGGGCGGCGGCTCAGCTCTGTGGCACGGGCCCAGAGCTCAGAGTTCTGCCCCCGTGTGCACAGGGTTCTGTCGGGAAAGGAGAGAATGAAGTTTCGTTCGTGGGTTTTGTTTTTTGTTTTTTGTTTTTTGTTTTTTTTTTTTGCTTTTTGGGTCACACCTGGCAATGCACAGGGGTTACTCCTGGCTCTGCGCTCAGGAATCACTCCTGGCGGTGCTCGGGGGACCATATGGGATGCTGGGAATCGAACCCGGGTCGGCCGCGTGCAAGGCAAATGCCCTACCCGCTGTGCTATCTCTCCAGCCCCCCTTCATGGTTTAAACCTTCTTTCTTTGGCACGTGGCCATGCCCAGACCCCGTTGTACCTTGTTTAGGTTTTGTTGTTCTTCCGCGGAAGCTGTGCTCTGAGAAGCCATGTGTGTCCCGGGGCTTAGAGCTCTGGCTTAGGAGACGAGGTTTTAATCCTCCCCCCCAGCGTGCCTTTCTGAACGGTTCATCTGTGACAGGAGTGTCCCCGCACTGCTGGTTGTGTCAGGTCCTGTTGGGCACGTTGGAAGCTGGCTTGGTGGGGCTGCCTCTGTCTCTGTGAGAGGGGGACAGGGCCTTGCAGAAACGCAGCGCTCACGGGCTTGGCCTCAGACTCCATCTCCCCACCAGGCCGAGAGGTGCTGCAGGACTCGGAGATAGACAGAGACGTTCACCCTGATGGACGGGTGGTGCAGGAGAGACAGCAGGCAGAATCAGCTGAGAGGGGAGCACAGAAGTGTGTGTGTGTGTGTCTGTGTGTCTGTGTGTACAGAAGATACCTGCAGCTCTCTCAGAAGGGCAGAAAGTGTGGCAGCCCCTGTATGTGTGTATTTGTATGTATGTGTCCGTGTGTCTGTGTCTGTGTGTGTGTGTGTGTGTGTATGTGTGCAGGAGACACCCACAGCTCTCTGACAAGGGTGGCAGCCTGTGTTTGTGTATCTGTGTGTGTGTGCAGGAGACACCCACAGCTCTCTGATAAGGGTGGCAGCCTGTGTTTGTGTGTGTGTGTGTCTGTGTGTGTGTGTGTGTGTACAGGAGACACCTGCAGCTCTCTCAGAAGAGCAAAAAGCGTGACAGTTCCTGTGTGTGTGTATGTGTATGTGTGTGTCCATGTGTGTGTCCGTGTGTGTAGAAGACACCCGCAGCTCTCCGAGAAGGGCAGAGTGTGTGGCAGTGGAAGCCCAGGGCTCGCTGGTCAGGCCCTGCTGTCCCCAGTCCCTGCGCCCCTGTGTAGGAAGGTAGGGGGAGGGTGGCGGGGAGGGGGTGCTGTCGGGAGAGCCCCTTGGAGAGCCTGTCTCCCTTTCCCTGCATCCACTCACAGCACTGGCCGCCCCAGGTGCCGTGTTTAGTGCTGGGGTCGCCGGTGATCGAGCCCCGGCATCTGAGTGTGCTTTGCCGGCAGGCCCACCCAGGACCCTCCCCCTGGCACCCAGGTGCTCTCTACCCAGAAACGCGCCTGTGTCTGTCCTTAGGCCTTGCTGGCCCTGCTGGGCCATAGCTGCCGAGCTTCCTTCCCTGGGAAGAAGGAGCGGCCGACTCTGGGCCAGCCGCACGCTTACCCGACCCGTGGCGGTGACGTCCGCGCCCTGGTGGGGTCCCGCAGGCACTGGTGGCCGTGTCCTCCCGCCCTGGCGCTGCTCGGGAGGTCGGGGCCCCTCTCCAGCCCAGGCCCGGCTTGCTGAAGAGTTTTGTTTGTCTATTGGCTTGGGGGCCTCACCCGGTGCACAGAGTTCACTCCCAGTGTCACTCCAGCGGGCCGGGCAGCACCAGAGACCCACCCCCAGTTTCCGGTTTGCAAAGCCTCTGCCCAGCCCTTCGAGGCACTGTCTGGGCCCCAGAACTTTCCGTGTCTCCGGCGCGGCAGAGCAGGCCAGGAAGGGAGGCGTCCTCAGCTGTGGGCTCTCCCCGCAGCCATTCACCCACTCTCGCCGACCCTGGCAGCGTCCTCCCGTTGGCATTTCTGCCAGACCCAGATGATCTCCGGGTCGGGGCGTGTCAGCAGCATCCGGCTTTTTCTCTTTTCAGCGAGGAGCTGCCAGGGGACCGCGTGGTCCCGGGAGATTGGCCGCGCGACCAGGCCTTGGCCTTCAGGGCCGATGCAGACGGATAAATGGCGCTTCCTGGAGATTTGCACAGAGCCCCTGAGTTCCGTGGGATGCTCGTGTGTCCGAGCTGTAGGAATGGGGGCCGTCGAGTCTCCGCCCCGGGTTCTGGCATGGAGAGAACACACCCACCTCTCCCCACCGTGCTCAGCCCACGAACCCTGTAACAAGAGAGAAATCTCCGGAGCGAGTCAAGGGGGAATTTCCCTAGTGACAGTACCCGTGTAGCCCAGGAGGCAGGGGTGAGGCGAGCTCTCGGGCGCCGCCGGGTCCTCCTCCCTCTCTCTGAGCGTGTAGTTTTTGCCGCTGGTCTAGTCCCCGCTGACTCCGGTTTCCCCGGTGTCCCTCGAGTCAGTCTGCGGCCAGCCTGGCCGGGCACAGTGCCAGCCCCCGACGTAGCCCAGTCAGGCCGCATGGAGCCCGGTCAGGGTCATCCCTCCCCACGCGGGGGTCGTGATGGCAGCTGGTCTCCCCAGCCCGTGGGCCCTGGTCTTCCCGTGATGCACAGGGCATCTCTGGGGGCCGGCACTGACCGGGCTGGCCGTCTGCCCGGCAGGGTTTGCCTTTCCACCCGAGACACAAGCAGGTGTGCTGGGAACGGTGGCCATCACCCGCCTCCAGGACCCCAGTGGCCTCCATGGCCCGGCCTCTGCGCACTCAGGTGGCACGTCACTGTCAGCGAACACGGCTCCCATTCAGCTGAGCCCGCGCAGATGAGACGAGACACCCGGGGGACCTTCTGGAACGTAGGACACTGCTCTGAGAGGCAGGCCCCAGGCAAGGGGATGGGGAAGGACAGACGGGCAGCCTCGTGGAGGGGATCTAGGCCATGGCTCTCGGCTACCCAAAGCCTGTCCCCACAGGGCCCCCATTCCTCCGGAGAGTTCCGTGAGTTTTGTGGGTGCTTGGGGTCTCCACAGGCGTCCGAGTCCTCACTGGTGCTTACCGTCACTGGGCAGGGCCTCATCTGAGCCCAGCACCCACGCTCACCTTCTCGGGGGCCAGGGCACTCCTGGGAGACGGAGGGCAGAGCCCCCTCCCCTCAGGCTACACCCAGACCTACCCCCCACCCATCCTTCCAGCGATCACCTGCCCTGCAGGAGCGGCAAGTGGTGTGATACAGACACCCAGAGAATGGCCTTGGGGACAGCCGTGCCCCTTCCCTGGCCCACTCTCACATTCTGGAATGTTCCTTCTCAGCCTTCGTGGCCTGTGTGGTCGTATAGAATCTCTCTGAACAGTCCTGGAATGTGCACGAAGAGAGAAATAAATGCTCCAGCCTTGAAGCACTGAGAACTTTTTTTTTTTTTTGGTCGGGGGTGGGAGTGTGCCTGAGCAGTACTTTTGGGTGCTGGGGGAGGGGGCCTGCAGGCCACGCTGACCCCCAGGGTGGGAATCAGGCCCCCGCAAGCCCAGCCTGGACCCTGAAAGCTGTGAGTGCATTGAAAACGGCTCCACCAAAGAGCAGCATGCCGTTTATTTTACTGCCTTTCAAAAAGGCTGGAGCAATAGCACAGCGGTAGGGCATTCGCCTTACAAGCGGCCAACATGGCCGACCCGAGTTCGATTCCTCCGCCCCTCTCGGAGAGCCCGGCAAGCTACCGAGAGTATTCGATATGCCAGACACAGTAACAACAAAGTCTCCAATGGAGACGTTACTGGGCCCGCTCGAGCAAATCGACATCAACGGGAGGGCCAAAAGGGCTTTATTTTTTTTTTCCCCTCCACCGTTACACTTCAGGAGCTGTCAAAGGGCATTTTGATGGAGGTAGAGGGAGTCTTAATCCGCGTTAATGGGGAGCAGATAAGCAGTGTCTGGCTTTTCCTCCTAAGTCGGGTCACGCGGGGGTCCTCGTGGGGGTCACCCGCCTCGCTCTCTCATTGTGCAGTTTCCTGGGGAGCAACCAGGCCAGGCACATCCCTGACACACGTGTCCCCCACCTGGCAGGAAAGACCTTTCACTTCTTTGCAGGAGTGAATAGATGTTGAAGAGGGTCCTGGGCTGTGGGCGGGCTTGCCGTTGGTCCCCCTTCCCCCCCAAGAAGGGCTGTGCGTGTGGGTGCAGGGAGTCAGGCCTGCTCCATAGTACCCGGTTCCCCCACACTGAGGGCCGGGGCTGAGGGGGCCCGGGAGAGCTTCCACAGACACTTATTAGAAGGGATGTTTCTAAATAGCGCCCCCAAGCACACCAGTTTGAGTTACATTTCTTGACCACAGTTTGTTTTTTTTTTTAAATTTCAATTTTGATAACGATGCTTAGTAATGTCAGAAAGGAGTCGGGCCTCTCCAAGCATTAGAAGTCAGTTTTGCAAAAAAAAAAAAAAATGGGGGGGAGCTAGAGTGATAGCACAGTGGGTGGGTGGGGCATTTGCACATGGCCAACCCGGGTTCGATTCCCAGCATCCCATACGGTCCCCCGAGCACCTCCAGGAGTAATTCCTGAGTGCAGAGCCAGGAGGAATCCCGTGCATCTCTGGGTGTGACCCAAAAAGAAAAAAAAAGTTTTGCTTGCTTTTGTGATTGTTCTTCCCTCCAACCCCCCATGCCTCACCATGAATTGTAGCTGGACGCCCCCGGCCGTGGCTCTGAAGCGCGGTTTGCTTGAGGCAGACGGGGCTGGGGCACCGCCGAGTGCCATGGACATCTCTGCTCTCTCCGCAGGCAAGGCAGCTTCCCCGGCCTGAACCAGGGCGGACTCATGGGCTCCGGCTCGCCCTACAGCCAGCCCGTCAACAACAGCGCCGGCCTGGTGAACGCCCAGGCGCCCCCCTACAGCATGGCGTCCAACATGGTCAACAGCTCCACAGGTAAGCGGGGGGCAGGAGACGGCCCACCTGGCCAGGCTGCGACCCACATGCCCGCCGTGCCCCTGCCAGTCCGTCCCGGCGGTTCTCGGGACTCGCGGCGATGGAGCTCGGGGTGGGTGGGGACCCCAGAGCTCTTCCGGTATGGCTGTTGTTAGTTTTGGCTTCAGGGCCACACCAGCTGCGCCAGTGGCTGACTCCTGACCGTGCCCAGGGATCACTGCTGGCCGTGCCCCAGGGGCCGCATGCGACTGTGGGGATGGGCCTGGTTCAGCCGTGTGCACAGCGAAAGACCTCCGATAGGGCCGTCCTGCCCACCGCGTCTCACTCCAACGGGGAGAACGTGGGAGCGGGCAGGGTCGGGGTTCGTGCCGGTAGCCAGCGGGAGCAGTCAGCGCATGTGCCATGTCGATTTGTCTGTGGGTCATCCTGCACTGTCCCCTCCATCACGGTGCCCCTCCCACCCACTGTGTCCGTCTCATCCACTGGGACCCGGACATGCCATCCCTGATGACCGCAGGCATTAGGTGATGAGGTGCGGTGCCGGCCAGAACCCATAACTGGCCTCCTGGCACCCCTTTGTGCTATGAACACATGCAGGGGCCAGAGCTGGCGACTTGTCACCAGCTCCTGTCCCTGCATCCTCGTGCCCAGGGATCTGCTGGTGGCGGCCCCTTCCCTTCATGGGCGGGCAAGAGGGCTGCTCCGGGGGTGTCTTCTGGCCAGAGGAGCCTCGCGTTCACTTGCCTATGCCAATCGGGACTTTCTGGGAAGCCTCTCACACAGGCCCTGCGCCCGGTACTGCTACCCGGTGCCCATGTCGGAGAAGGAGAATTGCCTTGTGCCCGTCAGTCAGCCCGTGGGCACGGCTGCAAGGACACCACCTCTTCCTCCCGTCATTGCCAGCCCCGGGCTCGTGCCCTGCGTAGACGGGAGGCTGGAGCCTCTTTCAAGGGCACAGAAGTCTGGAACGGCTGCGGATACTCCAGATTCTTGGCCCCTGTCTGGAATCCCCAAGAAGGACCCCAAGTCCACGGTCTTCCCAGCTTCTGGGTCACTCTCATAACTCCTGGTCATTTCCTCAGCGCATTTCCTACAGCTGGAGCAGCACCGCTTGAAGCACCTCGTGCTGGCCCGTCCGGCCATGCTGGCCGGGCCCCACCACCTAGAGCACATGGCACAAGCCCTGACCAGGTGCCGCACCATTGGGGAATTTGGAAAGATCCCGGAAACTGCCCTGAGCGGCCGCTCTGCGTGCTGAGACCGAGGCACCATCACCAGGGACTTTTGGGGTCTGTGGCACTGTCCCCAGTCTGGGGACCACAGCCCGCAGTGCTGAGTCTGCTCCTGGCTCTGCACTCAGGGCGCCCTTCCGGGGGGCCAAGGATTGGAGCCCAGGCCAGCCACACCCCGGCTTGCTGGCTGCAGTTGATTCTCGCTGTGGTCTCAGAGGACAGCAGAGGCGCAGCCACAGAGGGACAGCCATCTGCGGCCACTGCAGCACCAGGACAGACGCCAGCTGTTTCCTGGGCTGGCTGTCCCACGGGGTGCGGTGAACTGGGTGGGGTCCACGCAACCTGCCACCCTGCCCCCTGAAGCCATGTTGGCATCGGGGCACTTCGGGCCTTCTTCCTCCTGACTCCGTGAGAACTGTTCTGTGTCTGGAGCCTGTAGCGCGTGGACGGAGACCTCTTTACGTCGCCCTTGATGTGGGCCGGCCGCCGTGAGCATCCACAGGTGTGCGTCTGTCTTCAGAAACCAGGGGCGGTTTGCAGAGTACGGGCTGCCTTCACGGGCATGAGGAAAAGGCTGTGGGCTTGTCTCAGTGGATCCGAGCTCATCTCCAGGAAAGGGGGCGCAGGGCTCGAGGACAAGCAGGGGGACAGCGCCCGGCTCTCAGCACACCAGGAGACCCTCCTACGCCTTTGGAGTGTGTGAGCCCCAAGAGCTCGGCCATCCAGGGCTGGCACTGCCAAGCACCCTGTCCCCGCATGCCACCTGTACCCAGGTGGCCCCCGGCCTGTCCTGCCCTCTCTGACCAGACAGGGAGGCACCTGCCAGAGGGCAGGAGGAGGAGGAGGGCGGCAGTGATGATGGCAAAGATGAAGGTGGCAAAAGTACACCCTTAGAGCTGGCCTTTCTCTTGGGAAACAGGAAGTCCTCGCGCCCCCGTTGCCCGGGGTGGCCTGTGGCCCCCTGCAGCCCTCCACTGAGAATTCTCTTCAAGAGTAAAAACGTACAAGACCACTTGGCAAATGGGGTTCCCACCAGGAGGGCGGGAGTGCAAGAGCTCGGCCCTCCACCCCTTGCTGAGCTCTCAAAACGCTGAAGGCACCAACTCCGGACTGCTATCATCGTGTCATGCCGAGGAGAACGCAGAAGTCTGGGGAAACTGTCGGGCGTGGATGCTGTGTCCATCTGGGCGGGCTTTGGAAGGCGGTGAAAATACCAACATTAATCACAGGAACACAGATGGACCCAGTTAGGCTCTGGACTGCTTCCTTGTCCACGGACATGCCTGGTGCGTCGAGCAGGACACTGCCCACCCCCCACCCCCGCCTTCCAGAATCAGAGCAAGGCATGATTCCTTACACATACTGAGGAGGGTTCCAGAAGCCACAGGCCTGGGACTCGGAGGCTTTCTTTGCAGTCATGGGACTGACAGGACCCTCGGGCCTCACTGTGAATAGCCAGAGGGGCCTTGGTGGGGCCCCCTAGGGGGGCAGGGGGGGGATTTGTTTGTTTGTTTGTTTGTTTTTTGAGGGAGAGGGCTATACCCAGCAGGGGCTGTTGTTGGCTCCGGCCTAAGGGTCACTCATGGTGGGGCTCAGGGACCAGGGTCCACCACATGCAGGCCCTGTGGTGTCTGCAGAGGGCATGTCCCAGTGCTCGGCTTCCCGCTGCCCAGGGACGCAGCCTCCTTTCGGAGCAAGCACCTCTGCCCCTGACCTCTCTCGGTTTCACACATTCGCAAAAATAACAGCACTTTCAGCTGATCCAAATAGGGGAGGTTTTTTTTTTTTTTTTCTCTGCAGCTGCATCACTTGAAAAAAGCTTTTTGTTCCAGTTCCTTCAAGTCCAAGTATTGAGAATAACTTGCAGAGGGGGGGAAAGCACCAGGAGAGGAAGGACCGCGGCCCTCCGGGAGCTGCGTGCAGCCAGGACCCGAGGGTGCCGGGCTTCGTGGGCACGGCCGGGCCGCCTCTCCTGGCGGGGGCGCCTGGTCTCAGCCTGCAGCGGCGCTAACGCTATTAGCAGATTAGCACCGCCGAGCTTGCCAGCCACGTCGCCCGAGCCCTCTCGCCTCTCCCTGCTGTAATTCAAGCTAATTATTTCCTAAAACAACAGTAATGCATGAATATGTGCCGTAATCGATTTGGAGTGGCCGCTCTGCGGGGCCCTTTGCACGCACCTTTCTCTCTCTTTTCCTGGCACAAGCTGCTCTGTGTGTGCGTGGGCAGTGGCTGGGCTGAGCCAACTCGAGTCCGGGGGTCGGGAGGGGGCCCAACACCAGAGGCTGCTTCCTGCTTTTACCGAGTACCCTTCCCCATGCTGCGTCCTCAAACATCTGCGTGTGACATCTCCGGGCATGTTGCATGGGCTCTCTCTCCCCAGGGCCGTGTGGGGGTCCAGCGTCCAGTCCTGGGAAGTCCCTCCGAGCCCCCGCTGTGACCTCGTGCGTCCCCAACCTGTAACCCGGAAAGTGTCTGTTGGCCCTTGGCGGAAGCATACAGCAAGAGCAGGCGTCTTGCCCGGGTGGAGGGTTCACTCCTGAAGGTGTTGGCGGAGACTCAGTGGTTGTTGGGTGACAGTTGAACAGGCTGAGTGAGACTGCATGCCTGCCAGGGGCCCAGGTTCCGTCCCTGCTACCCTGAGGTCCCCCAGGCACTGCCAAGAGCCATCCTGGGTACAGCGCCACCAGCTGAGGCTCAAAAACACAAACCAGAGAGGAGAGTTGATCTTTGGAGGGGCTGAACACGTGCGTTACATGCTGGAGGCCCAGGTGGGATCTCCAGTCCCCAGCCTCCCTGGGGGGGACTCCCGGGATGAACCCCTGAGCGCTGCCGGTGTGACCCAGAGAATTGATTGGCGTCTGTGCTGCGCTGGCAGAGAGGGTACCGGCCGGGCAGAGCCAGGCGCCCTCCTTCAGCGCGGCGTTCGTGTTGCCGAGTCTGCAGTTGCCCGTGAAGATGACTCCCCACGCGGCAGAGAAGGGTTTCCGGTGAAAAGGGCACCGTGGCGAGTGATTCTGCAGAAATCCAGGCTGTGACTCAGGAAAGCCCCCGTTCACTCTAAGCAGGCAAAGGGCCAGGTGTATCCCGGCCACTGTGGTGATTGGTTATTGTGTGTGTGTGTGTGTGTGTGTGTGTGTGTGTGTGTGTGTGTGTGTGTGTGATGCAAGGTGGTTTTTATTGAAACTTACTTGGAAAGGTGCGAGGAGAGAGAAAGAAGTCCGTGTCTGAGGCAGATCACGGGCTTCCCCGGGGCAAGCAAAGAAGCTTGAGACTCATTTCGCTTAGCATGATACTTTCCCTGTAGTACCACTTGTATGTAAATTTCATGACTTCATTTTTTCTAGCAGCTACATAGTACTCCACTGTGTAGATGTACCAAAGTTTCTTTAACCAGTCATCTGTTCTTGGGCATTCAGGTTTCTTCCGGTTTCTGGCTATTGTAAAGAGTGCTGCAATGAACAAACAAGTGCAGATGTCACTTCGACTATACTTTTTTGCCTCTCCGGGGTATATTCCCAGGATTGGTATTGCTGGGTCCAATGGGAGCTCAGTTTCTAACTTTGTGAGAATCGTCCATACTGTTTTCCAAAAGGGCTGAACCGTTCAGCATTCCCCTCAATGCCTCTTTTGCAAACCACAGCACCCAAAAGGAGAGAGAGAACAAAAGGGAATGCCCTGCCACAGAGGCGGGGTAGGGTGGGGGGTATGGGGAGGTGGGAGGGACACTGGGACCGGTGGTGGTGGAGAATGGGCACTGGTGGAGGGATGGGTATTCGATCATTGTATAACTGAAACCCAAGCACAAAAATTTGTAAGTCTACAACTGTAAGTCATGGTGTTTGACTAATAAAAATTAAAATAAAATAAAATAAAGAAAAGTGGAGACAAGCGAGGCACGTGCTCCAGAGAGGGCCTGGGTGGGCTTCAGGTCCGGCCTGGCCGCCGGCTTCACCCCTGCGGGGCAGCCAGACCCCTGGGCTTGTCCTCACCGGCACCTCCGCCTTGGATGCCAGCGTGATTCTGAATAGTTACGCGTCTAATCCCGGTGGCCCGTCCGTCGCTGTGTTGGCCCTCGAGTCTATGATTGGTTTTTCTCTTCCTACCATCAAAAGGGGTTGCGAGGCTGTGGCGTGCCCCCAAATTCAGGCGCTGGCCGGCTGGGAGTCTCGATCCCCGTATCCTTCTTTCCCCTCGAGGGAAAACGGCGGGTCCCCTGAAGCACCCCATAGCTGGTCTCCGTGGGAGCTGGCGGTTAACCCTCAACCTTCTCTCCTGTTTTCGCTCAGCCTCTATGGGTCTTGCAGATATGATGTCTCCGGGGGAATCCAAGTTGCCCATGACCCTCAAGGCCGACGGCAAGGAGGAAGGCGCCACCCCGGCCGACAGCAAGGCCAAGGTATGTCCCGTCTGCGCCTCTGGGTGGGGTGTCGTCAGCGCCCGCCTCCCCCCGCACCCCGTCCCCCACCCCCCGCATGGTGTGGCTCTGAACGTTAGAAGCTCAGTGGTCAGGTGGGTGCAGGCCCAAGGAACAGCCGCTTTGGGGATGCGGGGCCCGGAAGGGGCCTCGCCTGGGTTTGTGTGCCCCGCCTTCGGGTTAGCCTTGGTCCGTTTCCGTCACGGCATATTAATTCTTTGCTTTCCCGCCTTATTTGCTCAACGAGGTCCCCAGCCTCGCCACCAACCCTGCCCCGTCCTCTTTCTTTCTCACAAGGGGTCACCCTTGCTTTGCCTCCCCTACACCCCGAAAGTCAGCCTGGGCCCTGGTGCCCTCCTCCAGCCGCCAGCCAGGGTGTCAGTGTGCCAGCCCCGGCCCTGCCCGTTGCCCTCCCCCCAAACCCCCTGTGTCTGTAGAAATGGTCTGTCCCGCTAAGGCAGGCTGTCCTTGTCTCTTCCTCTGCCACAGGATAGCTACAGCTCGCAAGGGGTCTCGCAGCCCCCCACCCCTGGCAACCTGCCCGTCCCGTCCCCGATGTCGCCCAGCTCCGCCAGCATCTCCTCCTTCCACGGGGACGAGAGCGACAGCATCAGCAGCCCGGGCTGGCCCAAGACCCCCTCCAGCCCCGTAAGTGCTCCAGGTTTCCGGGTATTTCTTCAGGGGGTCGGGGGTGGGGTGGGGGTGGGGATTGATTACTTTTCTTAATAACACCCGATAACTAAGACTGTGACTTTATGGTTCGTCCGGGAAAGGGGCCTCGTTGATAATCAATGCAAGGGGCACAGTGCACAACATTCGGCCGTAGTGATTTGGGCCCACGAAACCCCCGTGGCAACCTCTCAATGCCTGAGGTCGGATTCTTGGGCCCAAACTCCGTCCTTCCCCCCGTGGCCATGTTCGGATGTCCAAGCCATTGGGGACTTAGAACAGGTCTGTCAGCCGGGCGCTACGCAGCTCTCATGGGCTCCAATAGCAGCCACGGAGGAGGAGGCAAGTTGGGTCGCAATCTCCATCTGCACTCACACCGCCTGCCGGTGACTCGGCGCTGTCGGCCACCCGCCCTGGGCCAGCGTGGTCAGCCCTGATGTTGCCCAGGAAGTTAACAGGAAAGTCGGAGAAATGCTTTGTGAAGATTGAGTCTCCCCCCCTAGCACCCCCAGAGCATGGAGACGGGGAGATGACATCATGGGCGGACACTCGGCGGGGGAGCATTGGTCCCGTGTGTGGGAAGCCCCTGGGCTCCGTTCCCCCGCACCACAGAAACAGAAGGACTCTGCCCTGCACACCTGCTCATGAACTTAAGTGTTGGTTTCCGTAGGCTGTATCAGAGAAACGCAAAGGAGATTCTGTAATCAGAGAAACGCAAGGAAATTCTGTCGGCCTTAATATTCCTCTGTCCATTGGGGGCTGGAGTGATAGCACAGCAGGTAGGGCGTTTGCCTTGCACACAACCTGACCCGGGTTCAATTCCCAGCATCCCATATGGTCCCCTGAGCACCGCCAGGAGTGGTTCCTGAGTGCATGAGCCAGGAGTAACCCCTGTGCATCGCTGGGTGTCACCCAAAAAGCAAAAAAAAAAAAAAAAAAAGGACCATTGTTTAGGATTCCTCCTCGCTGACTGAGGTGTTTATGGAACACGGACTCCCTGGTTAAATGGTAAATGGCGCCTGTCCAGAGACTAACGGGACAGGGAGGGCGCGTGATTATCATCCACTCAGGACCTCTGTCCAGCTGAGAATCTTTATGTGAACCTGGGCATACAGGTACGTGAGATAAATGAATCACATATTTTCTGGTAGCAGTTCCTAGAAAGAAAATTTAAATGACTCCCCCATATTCTCTTATGCAACCAAAAATAGGGTCACAGCCCAAAGTTTCAGAAGCTAAGCTCCAGGAAACTTTCATCACTGTCTACTTAAATAGAAGGGAGAAAAGAAATGAATTGTTGACTGCATTTTTTTTTCAATCTTTCGGCAATAGAGTTATACTTAAAATTGCATGACTAATTTACCTTTTTTGTCCAAATTTTTCCATATTCTCTTCCCTGTATGTAAACTGGCTTAAGTCTCAGAACTTGTTGTTTTTTTTTTTTAAATGATTTATTTGTTTTGCTTTTTGGGTCACACCCGACGATGCTCAGGAGTTCCTCCTGGCTCTGCCCTCAGGAATTACTCCTGGTGGTGCTCAGGGGACCATATGGGGTGCCAGGGATCGAACCCGGGTCCACCGCGTGCAAGGCAAACGCCCTCCTCGCTGAACTGTCGCTCCAGCCCTCAAGTCTCAGAACTGACAGGCAAGCTTCTGGGTAGAAAAGCTCCGACCGGAAAAGGAATCTCTCCGGCTGAGGTTTTCAGACTGGAGACGAGAGGAGAACTGATTCCGGGATCCAGGCTCCGAGGCAGAAATAAAAGCCACGCCGGGTGTGTTCCCGTCTCATCACTGACGACGGTGCTGCGGCGAGTGTGACCCAGACAGACCACGAGTGGGGCGGCGGTGACCTTTTTCGGGGACTGTCTGCGGCAGCCACGGTGGGGGGCCCTTGGCCTGCCAGGAGCAAGCGACCATGCCAGGAACAATGTGGTTCCACTCGGGAAGAGAAGCAGAGCGGCTCCGCAGCCCGCCACGCTCCTGCGGACAGGGATGCTGAGAGCTCAGGCCGAGCCTCCCGATATGCCCTTGGTCCTCACGTCAAAGGCCCCGCCCAGTCTCCCTGGGGAAGTCGCGAGTGACCAGGAGCCGGGCCCAAAGTCAGACACTCCGTTTGCCGGCAGAGCACACTGGCACTGGCACGTCTCTGCGGGAAACGGGGGCACAGCTTAGGAAGACGCGGGCTGAACACGCTCGCCGCCCTCATCCGGACTTTCCAAAGCCCCCTTCCCTGTCCCCGCAGCCTGTGGAGTGACCCTCCGGCCCGGTCAAGGCTCACGCGCAGGACGTGACAGCCTCCTCCGGCCGCAGTTCTGCGCTGCCCGCAGCACAGGGACACGCAGAGACGCTGAACCGCTTCTCCAGGCTGGAGCCCTCCGAGGCCCTGGACACCGGGCATGGAGGGGGTGTGTGCGGGTGGCCTGCCCTCGTCCGGCCCCCGCCCCCCATGCAGCGTGTCCACGGGGCCCCACCTTGGGCAAAGGCTTTCTGTCCCGGTGAGATTTTGTTCAGAGATAGCAGCTGCCTGCTAGGTGCTGCCCCCTGGGGACAGACAGACAGCCCCACATAAACTGGATGTTCCAGGTGCCCACAGGCCCCATCAGCCCGCTGAGCACCAGGATAGGGCAGGGTCTCGAGGCTGGCATGCAACACGCAGACATCAAATGCGTGGAGACACAGGGAACGGCGAGAAGGGTGGCGAGTCTCGTTGGGTCTGTTCTCCCGGCTGCCGTTTCCTAGGGGGACGAGGCAGCCCGAGGCCCACGCAAGCTCACCACACCCTAAATGCACTTTAGCCAAGAAAGCCGGACGTGGAAATGTCCTGTGGTTCCCCCGTGGAGGCGATGCAGTGGGGCTGGTCAGCGGGGTGGGAGGGAGGCTGTGCCCTCGTCCAGCTGCAGGTAGCGTCTCTGTATACCTGCTTGGGATTGCGGGGTCCAGGGCGGCGCCGTGGGGGGGCACCACCTGTCGGGGCTCCCCATGGAGCTGTTCGGTCGTTTCCAATTGAACCTGTCGGGCTGGAGCAACAGTGCAGCCATGAGGGCTCTGGCCTTGCCCAGGGCCGACCCGGGTTTGATTCCCCAGCTCCTCATATGGTCCCCTGCCCCACCGGGAGTGATCCCTGAGCACAGAGCCAGGAGTCAGCCCTGAGCATCTCTGCATGTGTCTCCTAAAAAAAAAAAAGCAAAACTCCCGATTGTAGCTGTTCTCTTTCATAGCTCTTTCCCATGACGTAACATCTCATTTTTACGTCTCAAAGATTTTCCACAAATGAAATGCAAAGGGAAAGTTGGCTTTTTTTTTTCCTTTTTTTGCTGGTTTTATGTGTGAACTCTTTTCTTGCCCCTCCTGTTCTTATTGCAAATTCTTCTCTGGGGGAAAGACATCGGTTTCCCCCCCCCACACACACATGCCATTCGCGCATCTCCCCCAGAGAAAGTTCATTTCGGTACCAGGAGCCGCCCTCGGTGACAAAGTTTCAGGGTCGTGCCTGGTCTAAGACTGGCATGGAAACGTACTGAGAACAGTTTCTGCATCGTCAGCCGTGCCTCGGGTTCAGGAGGAGGAAAACAGAAGCGTGAGGCCTCCCGGGCGGGCGTCCCCTTGTGTTCTGCGTGGATGTGGGGGCACCCCGGTGCCAACAGTGCTTTGCTGGGATCCTCTGTTGTACTCTCGTACATGAGCTCTGAAGGGTCTCACCTCTTTCGTGCGGCTGTTCTGCGTCTTTATCAGCATCAACCCCATGGGCCGCCTTTATTTAGGTGGTTGAGGTCGAGCTGTTAACACCTTACGCGATTCTGAAGCGGAAAATTTCAAGTTTCCACCAAACCAGTTGGGAGTCTCAGAGTTCCTGGGCCCGGAGGACGCGCCCCGTCTCCTGGGCCCCTTCTCGGCTGGCCCCAGAGCCCGGGCCGCTGAGACCAGGAGCCATCGTCACAGTAGCAAGCAGAGTCACGTTCAGCTGCAAGTCTGAGGGGAAGGAGTTCAGAAGAACGCCACGAAAAGCCGGAGTGACGCGAAAGAAACCCAGCGGCAGAACACGAGTCGGGGGTGGGACTCGCTGTCCTGAGCAGAGCCGGGTGGAGGGTTTGGCGGTGGGGCCGGTCCTGCGAGTCCAGGTGAGGCCCCCAAATGGGGCCACTTTGGATATTTCCGTCTCAGAGAATGAAGGAGAGACCGAGGGTCCTCACAGCCCCCTGGGGCCCTGTGAGACATGGCCCAGAGGCCTGGAGGCACCATGCCCAGAGCCGGGCTGTCTATGCCCGGGGTCCTTGTCGGGAGGATGCCTCCCCGCATCTCTAAAGCGTCTTTCCTCGTGGATGAGAGGGACTGAGAGGAAAGGTACCGACTGGACCACCTTGGCAGCAGAGCTGGGACGTCGGCTAGGACACTGCCACGGAACCAAAACCGTCACCACCTTGAGCCCTTCCCTGGGCCCAGGGACAGACCCGGCATGGAAACTGGCCCCCCGCACCCAGATCCTTTGAGCCTGTGTCACACATGCTGCCCCCCCCCCCCCCAGGCCAAGCCAAGGACAGGCAGCGGGACTGGGCAAGGCTTGGGGCATGGCCGGGCCTGGCCTCTGGGGCTCGATGCCCCGTCACGGAAAGATGCTCTTCCTCGCTGTTTGCTCTGTCACGCACATGGGCCTTGGAGAATCTGTCAACAGGCTCGCATGGTCCCGTCGTCGTCCTCATGCCGTGTGCACGGTGTGATCGCGGTAACGTGTGCACGGCTCCTGGCCCGTGGCCGCTCACAGCTCTCCTCTCGCCTCTCCCCTGTCCCCCCTTGCCCCTCCCCCCAGAAGTCCAGCTCATCCACCACCACGGGGGACAAGATCACCAAGGTGTACGAGCTGGGCAACGAGCCGGAGCGGAAGCTGTGGGTGGACCGCTACCTGAGCTTCATGGAGGAGCGGGGCTCGCCCGTGGCCAGCCTGCCCGCCGTGGGCAAGAAGCCCCTGGACCTGTTCCGCCTCTATGTCTGTGTCAAGGAGATCGGGGGCTTGGCCCAGGTAGGCGGTGCTGGAGGGCTTTGGGTGGGGGGGGGGGACGGGAAGGCAGCGGCCAGACATTACTCTGTCCCCTGCCACTTCCGGGCGGCAGTTAAGACTCCATCTCCCAGTGCCCGCTTGCATCTGTCCAGTGCCATGGGCAGGCCCACAGGACCCCTCGGCCTGCACGGCCCACTGGAAGCTCCGGGGCTCTCACCCCCGCCGCCCTGCCCAGGGTGCCCCCACACCCCTGCCAACGCCAGCCTGGGTCAGCAGAGGGGACTTCGGGGCGCTTGACCCGGACCCCCTCCCTTCTTCATGCCATCCACACCCTTCTCCCCTGCACCAAGACCCCAACCTCCCCCCTTGTGCCTGGACCCCCCACCTCTCCCCTCTCCCCTGCACCCAGACTTTTCCCTTCTCCACTCTCCCTGCACCTGGGCCCCTCCTCCCCTCGCCCCTGCAGCTGGACCTCTCCTTTCTCCCCCTCCTCTCCCCTCTTCTCCGCACCCAGACTTCCCCCCCACACCTTTCCTCTCCCCTGCACCCAGATCTCTCTCCTCTCCCCAGCCAGCACCCAGGCCCCTCCGTCTCCCCGTTCCCCTGCACCTGGACCCCTCCACCCCCCCCCCCCCCCCCCGCTGAGTCCTTGGCACAGACTCTCTCTGACTCTCTCCCCGCCCCGGGGGCCGGGCGCAGAGTGCCCCATCTCTGCGGTGGACGGTCTGGGACTTTGCTCTGGCTCTCGGTGCTCGGTGAGCAGAGCCTGGGGCTCCCTGCTGCTGGGGCTCGGCAGGGCCTTGGGGTGCCTCTGCCGCCAGCCTGCTCCCCTGCCCGTGCCAGGGCCCTCAGCCTGCTGCTGTGCCAGCTGCTCGTGCTCAATCAGTGCCACCGGGCATCACGTGCCTGCCCGCGGAGCCCATTCCTGAGGCGGGGTTCAGAACCCCAAGTGCCCCACTGGACCCCTCTCCCCTTTCCTCTTTCTCTGCACTCGTGCCCAGTCCCACTGGCCCTGAGTGTCCGGGGGACGTGGGTCACATGCGTGGCCACCCTCCAGGGTGTTCATCGTCTGGCTCAGGGAGGTGGCTGGGAGCCGTGAGGGGACAGCAGGGGGCCCGAGCTGCTGGGAGCCTTTGGATGTCATGGGTTTCGCCCCTGTAAAGGCTGAGGAGGGCGTGGGGGATGGGGGTGGGGGGCGGAGCAGACCCCGGAGTTTCCGCTCCCTTGTCGTTGGGGTCTCGGCCGTGGAGCGTGACTGTGCCCCCTCCCCGCCCCAGGTCAACAAGAACAAGAAGTGGCGGGAGCTGGCCACCAGCTTGAGCGTGGGCACGTCCAGCAGCGCGGCCAGCTCCCTGAAGAAGCAGTACATCCAGTACCTGTTCGCCTTCGAGTGCAAGATCGAGCGCGGGGAGGAGCCACCGCCCGAGGTCTTCAGCTCGGGCGACACCAAGAAGCAGCCCAAACTGCAGCCGCCCTCGCCCGGTAAGTGCCCGGGCCCCCCACCCCCACTACCACCACCGCCAGACGCCCGGCCCCCACGGCCAGCGCTTCTGGAGCACTGGACGGCGAGTTCACGGCCTGCTGCCGGCGTTCATGAGTGGCCGTGGCCAGCCGTGGGTTTGTTGGTGGGTCGCGACCCCCTTCCCTCGCCCCTGGGGCAGGGCTGCTTCGGGCGAACATGGTGCCCTGGCTGCCGGTCTCCCCCATGCCTGCAGAGCCCCTGCAGAGACAGGTCATCGGGGCCCCCTCCCCTGAGCCTGGCCAACCCTGGCCCCTCGGAGCCCCCACAGGGGTGTCCCGCACACACACACACCAGCATCAGAGCTCGGTCCCCCATGGGTGTGTCTTGCACACACACATGCACACACACACCACACACACACACGCACACACACCAACGTCAGAGCCCAGCTAGCCCCTCGGTGCCCCCACAGGGGTGTCTTGCGCGCACACACACACACACACACATGCACCCACATACATACACACACACACCAGTGTCAGAGCTCAGCTCGCCACAGGTGTGTCTCACACACACACACACAAACACACACACCAGCGTTGGAGCCCGGCCGGACCCTTGGAGCCCCCACAGGAGTGTGTGTGTGTGTGTCTCTCTCTCTCTCACACACGCGCGCGCGCACACACACACACACCCCAGCATCAGAGCCCAGCCCTACCGGCCTCACTGTGGGCTGGGGGAGGATGACAAAACTCAGGGAGGAGGACGCTGTCCCACGTGCAGGCCCCCAAACAGCCTGGCACTCGGGGCTGTGAAATGGGTCTGGAGACTTCCCCGGGCACCCAGGGAGCTGGGGGGAGCAGAGGGGTAGCCGTGGCCCCCAGGCTAGTCTCCACCGAGCCAACAGTCCTTGCCGGCCCACAGAGCCTGGCACCAGAGGATCCAAGTAGGGCATCCTGAGCGGATGCGAAGGGAACAAAGGCCCTGGGGTGGCCTCATCCCCTGCCCCGCCTGGATGCCCTCACGGTGCCATCCCAGAACCCTCTTTGAAATCCCCTCCCCAAGCTGTCAGCCACACCTGGCTCACACACGGCCTTCCATCAAGGGGTCTACAGTGAGGTTCCATCTCCTGGGGTCCGGAGCCCATCCTGGGACAGAGTCCAGCCTTGCCCAGGGGGGCAACCAGTTTCTGTCTCCGCCCCATTGAGGGTCGCGCATCCCGGTGGTCCCTGGGAGGCAGCGTGGGGAAGGACGGGCTGGCGGTAGGCCTTCCCCAGTGCTTCTCCTGCTCTGGGCAATGGGTGGGTGTGTGTCTGGGCCTCCCGCCTCCAGCACAGCAGAGAGCCGGATGAGGGGCATTTTCGGGGCACTTGGCAGCGCCCAGCCCCATCCAGGAGGACCAGAGGCCTGCGAGGGCCAGTTTCTCCCAGCGGGGGCACCCCAGAACGGCACTTCCGTGGGAAGAAGAGGCCATTGGCTTCCAAGCCCGTGTGAGGGAGTTGCAGTAGAAACAGAGCCCGCGGGCCGCCCCCAAGACTCGTGTTCCGTGGCCCCGGGGAGGACGGCCCTCAGAGACCACAGGCAGGCCATCACAGTGACCGGCGGTGCTGTCAGGGTAGTGCCATGCCCATCGCAGCTGGCACCCGGTGACCTCAGGATGTCCAAAGGCCCCAGGCTCGGTCGATTTGTAGCGTTGGATTTCAACTCCACTACTCAGTGCCTCGGACCCGGAGCCGAGGTTTCTGCGCTTTCCCCTGAAACAGCACAGTGGGTGGTCTGACGGTGCTGTGCCCCTGCTCACTCCCGGGCCCCCTCTGACTGCCGACACTTGTCCCCTCCCTGGTGGGCAGCGTGGGCACGTGTATGGGCCTGGTGCCCTCTTTACGTCCCACTGCCTGTTGCTCGCTTCCCAAGATAAACACCCGCTCAGAATATGTCGGCGAAGCCGTTTCTCGAGCCCCTGGTCAAGCCGGGCTCCAGATGGTCTCGCCGGAATTCCCTGGCTCGGCCCTGCCCAGTGTGGCCGGTGTCACCCTTCCCAGGGTCTCCCGTGGTGACCGCAGGTCCCTGTTTTCTCTCCATGTGCGCTCCCCCGCAGCCAACTCAGGATCTCTGCAAGGCCCCCAGACCCCCCAGTCGACGGGCAGCAACTCGATGGCCGAGGTCCCAGGCGACCTGAAGCCGCCCACGCCGGCGTCCACGCCGCACGGACAGATTACCCCGATGCAAGGGGGCAGGTAGGCCCCGCGACGGGGTGCGTGGCGACGGCGGGGGAGGGGGTCTCCCTGCCACGGGGGCGTTTGCAGGAGTTGGGGGTACGCCTCTTGCATTCGCGGGTGTGGGGTGGGCCTCATGCCGCGGTTCCTCGTCTCCCAAGAAGCAGCACCGTCAGCGTGCACGACCCCTTCTCCGACGCCAGCGAGTCGTCTTTCCCCAAGCGGAACTCCATGACCCCGAGCGCCCCCTACCAGCAGGGCCTGGGCATGCCAGACGTGATGGGCAGGGTGCCCTACGAGCCCAACAAGGACCCCTTTGGCGGGATGCGGAAAGGTGAGTTCTGGGACCCCCACTCTCGGCCTCAGTCTCCCCCTCTGCGGCCGGACCGTTGTGGGGGCACTCAGGCACAGAAGAAGGGCCAGGCCGAGGGCAGTGGGGATTCCCCCACCGACAGCCCCCGCCGCGGGTCGCTGCCGTCAGCACACGGCCAGACGTGGGCTTGGCGCTGGGGGTGCCCCCCGGCCGTCTAGGGAGCTGGAGGGGATGGCAGGGCAGCCAGGCAGGGGTCTCCCAGTGTGTTTGGGGAGTGAGCAGCAGATAGACTCAGCGGGAGGACGTGGGGGCGGGGGGGGGGGGGTCCACGCCCAGGCCCAGGCCCGGCACGTCATGGGCAAGTCACTGATGGTTCTCGGCCCCAAGCCACGCGTCTCCTGTCTACCCAGCTCGGCGCTTTGGGAAACAAACCGCCCAACATGTGGAGGGGAAGAGGCCTTGGGCAGTCGGGGGTGCTCTGGGCGGGGGTGGGGGGCTTGGTAGGAGCCGAAGGTCAGTGGCTGGGCGTGAGCATGGGGAGGAGGGAGTCAGGGCCGAGCTTGCATGCAGGCTCGAGGGCCGAGCAGGGTTTATGAGGTGGCAGAGGGCGGGAGGAGCCCTCAGAGATCCCCAGGGGCAGCCTGGCCATAGCCCCAGGGAGGGGAAGCGTTCGAGGGTGGGGAGGGACTGGAAGCCCAAAACTCCGGTGTTCCCACGTGTCACGGACCCGTGCAAGTAAGAAGTGGCTCAGAAATGTGGGTTTGTGGCCTCTGCAGAAGGGATTGCTAGCAGAAGGGATTGGATTTCAGGCTTTCGCCTGATGTCACAGTTTAGGGCCAAGTCCAGCCCTGTGACCCACCGTCTCCGTGGGGCGCTGCTTGTGGTTAGGAAAGATGGTGCCGGGAAATCTCAGGAATTCCGGGCGCACTGGAGCTCAGGTTCCAAAGCTCGGTGAAGGCCGAGGCTGTAGCAGATGCTGGAGAGAAACGTTCCCGGTGCGCCCTGTGTGATGGGTGGGGTGTGGGGTGTGGGGGTCCGTGTTCAGACTCTGAAAGTAGGGCGATCGTGTGGGGGGTGATTCGCGGTTGGAATCTGAGTTGAGCGTGACCCTGAGCCGCTCCGTGGCCGGCGCCCCTGGCAGCCAGAGCCTTCCTCACTCCCTTTGACCTGCACTGTTCCCTGGTACGGAAATGAGTTCTCGAGCCAGACCGATGGTACAGTGAGTCAGGCGCTGGCCTCGCACCCCACACCAGGCCCCACCAGGAGGGAGCCCCGAGCACTGCCAGCACTGTGGCCCAAAAACAAAACAAAACCAAAAACTAGTGATTCTTCAGGGAGCGGAGGTTGTGGGCTCCCCTGCCAGACTCTAGAAGTTCGTCCTGCCTCACCCCTGCTGCATCCCAGCCCCTCCTGCCTCACCCCTGCTGTGCCCTGGCCCCTCCTGCCTCACCTCTGCTGCACCCCAGCCCCTCCTGCCTCACCCCTGCTGCGCCCGGGCCCTCCTGCCTCAACGCTGCTCTGTCCCAGTCCCTCCTGCCTCACCCCTGCTGAGTCCCAGTCCCCTCCTGCCTTACCCTTGCTCTGTCCTGGCCCCTCCTGCCTCACCTCTGCTCTGTCCTAGCCCCTCCTGCCTCATCCCTGCTGCGCCCTGGCCCCTCCTGCCTCACCCCTGCTGCACCCCAGCCCCTCCTGCCTCACCCCTGCTGCACCCCAGCCCCTCCTGCCTCACCCCTGCTGCACCCCAGCCCCTCCTGCCTCACCCCTGCTGCACCCCAGCCCCTCCTGCCTCACCCCTGCTGCGCCCGGGCCCTCCTGCCTCAACGCTGCTCTGTCCCAGTCCCTCCTGCCTCACCCCTGCTGAGTCCCAGTCCCCTCCTGCCTTACCCTTGCTCTGTCCTGGCCCCTCCTGCCTCACCTCTGCTCTGTCCCGGCCCCTCCTGCCTCACCCCTGCTGCGCCCTGGCCCCTCCTGCCTCACCCCTGCTGCACCCCAGCCCCTCCTGCCTCACCCCTGCTGCACCCCAGCCCCTCCTGCCTCACCCCTGCTGCACCCCAGCCCCTCCTGCCTCACCCCTGCTGCGCCCGGGCCCTCCTGCCTCAACGCTGCTCTGTCCCAGTCCCTCCTGCCTCACCCCTGCTGAGTCCCAGTCCCCTCCTGCCTTACCCTTGCTCTGTCCTGGCCCCTCCTGCCTCACCTCTGCTCTGTCCCAGCCCCTCCTGCCTCATCCCTGCTGCGCCCTGGCCCCTCCTGCCTCACCCCTGCTGCACCCCAGCCCCTCCTGCCTCACCCCTGCTGCACCCCAGCCCCTCCTGCCTCACCCCTGCTGCACCCCAGCCCCTCCTGCCTCACCCCTGCTGCACCCCAGCCCCTCCTGCCTCACCCCTGCTGCACCCCAGCCCCTCCTGCCTCACCCCTGCTGCACCCCAGCCCCTCCTGCCTCACCCCTGCTGCGCCCGGGCCCTCCTGCCTCAACGCTGCTCTGTCCCAGTCCCTCCTGCCTCACCCCTGCTGAGTCCCAGTCCCCTCCTGCCTTACCCTTGCTCTGTCCTGGCCCCTCCTGCCTCACCTCTGCTCTGTCCCGGCCCCTCCTGCCTCACCCCTGCTGCGCCCTGGCCCCTCCTGCCTCACCCCTGCTGCACCCCAGCCCCTCCTGCCTCACCCCTGCTGCACCCCAGCCCCTCCTGCCTCACCCCTGCTGCACCCCAGCCCCTCCTGCCTCACCCCTGCTCTGTCCCAGCCCCTCCTGCCTCACCCCTGCTGAGTCCCAGTCCCCTCCTGCCTTACCCCTGCTCTGTCCCGGCCCCTCCTGCCTCACCTCTGCTCTGTCCCAGCCCCTCCTGCCTCAACCCTGCTGCATCCCAGCCCCTTCTGCCTCACCCCTGCTGAGTCCCAGTCCCCTCCTGCCTTACCCTTGCTCTGTTCTGGCCCTTCCTGCCTCACCATGCTGATGGGCTTGGTCCCAGACCAGAGCATGTCCACGGACATGCATGTGAAACAGATTCAGGTTCCTGTGCCTGTTAGTTGAGTTCTCTCAGCTGGCCTGGTCACACTCTGACTGTCCCTAGTGACCAGCACCTTTGGAGACCAGGTTCTTAGTTGCTCTGCGGCAGCTGGTGAGCTGTAGTTAACGGGGGTCGCCCTTGTCATGGGGCTCTGGGGGTGTTGACTGGCACAGGACTGCAGGGCTCTCCCCGGGCATGGGGTGTGGCTACTGATCTGCGGTCATGGGGGTATATGGTGTCGATCCTCTGTAGGAGGGGGCTGGCTGCAGGACCCCTTCTCGGTGTGGCTGATTGGGCTCCTGGCAGCTCTGTGACGAGGTTGCCGCCGCCCCAGCTGTCCTTGGGGGCCCCACTGTGCTTGCACGAGGTCACACATGTCAGACCCTCCAACCCTGGGCACCTGGCCACCTCCCAGGTCTGACGGGTTATGACCATGGCCGCCGTGTCTAACTTGAGCCAGTAGGGGGGCCGCGTCTCCCTTCTGGCTCTTGTGTCGAGGTGCGAAGGGAGGGCGTGGCTGCGGCCCTTGTGGGGGCAGGGGCGTGAGCGGAGGCCTGGACCTGGGGAGCGCCTGACCCCCTGCCCTGCCCTTCCCGTCCACAGTGCCTGGCAGTAGTGAGGCCTTCCTGGCGCAGGGACAGATGCCCGCCAGCAGCATGCAGGACGTGTACAACCAGAGTCCCTCGGGGGCCATGTCTGCCCTGGGCATGGGGCAGCGGCAGCAGTTTCCCTACGGAGCCAGTTACGACCGGAGGTGAGCGCGCACACACACCACACGTGCACACACACGCACACCTCAGGAGAACGCGGGCAGCCTGCTCACCCCCGGCCACATCCAGGGACAGCGGTCTCGGGTGCTCCTGTAACTCAGAGCAGGGGCCTGGGTGGCCGCTGTGTGTGGCATCCAGGAGCCCGGTGCCCCTGGGGCAGCTGTGTTGGTCCGCAACTCCAGAACGTGGGCGGAGACGGGGAGCCATGACTGGGGCCGCACCCGCTGAACCTGAGTACTGGGATATGTTCTGCAGGGTGGGCGGGCAGTGCCAGCCAGCACAGGGGTCTCTTCCTAGGCACCGCCTTGCTACTTCCTTAGGGCGTGCTGTGGCAGGAGCCCCCTGGTTCTTGGGTGCTCGCGATGACCTCGCCGTCCCCTGGGAGCAGCCAGGGCTTGCAGGCCCTGGCTGGACCCCCAGGCTGACCCCCGGAGGGGACCAGCTGGGTGAGGCTGTTGCTCGCTTTCCTCAGGGCAAAGGTTCAGAGCTGCCCGCCGGGCACGGACAGATTCCTCTGGGCTGGTCCCAGGGAAGATCTCTCCCAGGTCCATCAGAAGAGCTCTCTAGAACTTTCTCTGAGCAGAACCGGCCCTCCGTTAGGGCAGCGTGTCCAGCCTTCCCTGAGGGAGGCTGCGACTCTGCCCCCGTCCCCTGGTTACATTCCCAGAGAACGTTCTTGTGAGTCGGAGCCATAGCACAGGGGGGGAGAGTGCTTGCACGTGGCTGGCCCCGGGCTTGATCCCCAGCATCCCATATGGTCCCTCTGAGCACCACCAGGGCCATGAGTAGACCCTGAGCACCGCCGGGTGTGACCCCAAAACAAAACCAAAAAACAGAAAAAGAAAAGCGAGCGTTCTGGTTAGGCCTTGATTGTATCCAGGTAGTCAGGTTCCTTCCCTGCTCTCCAGGGAAGGAAACTTCTAGCTAGTGAAGAGTCTTCTAGCTGTGAAGAGTCAGCATGTCCCAGCGCTGTTGGACGCGTGACTGTCAAACTCTGTGTCTCTCTGTTTCTCACCGTTTAGAAATGCAGCAAGTCCAAGAATCCTCTCTCTTGCCAGGTTCAGTGGACTCACCAAACTCAGATAGTTCTTGTTTTAAATCCATCACCCTTTTTTCACATTTAATGTATTTTTTTCATTGTTAGAGAGCCCCAAGGGGGGGGCAGTTGTGGGCTCAAACCCAGGTGCTCACACACACAAGGCGGGCACCGTACCACCCGGCCCATCCCTGAGCCCTGTCCTCTCTGGAACACGCTGGTTCCCGGGTCTCGTGCAGGGGACACAGGTGCCCTGTCTGTCCCCTGGACGCGAGTTTGTGGAGGCACATTTGGATCGTCGCTGTTCTGGGCTGGAGGAAGAGTCCAGTGAGCCGGGCACAGGCTCTGCGTGCGGAAGGCCTGGGTCCAGCCCCTGAACACTGCCAGTTGTGGCCCACCTGAAGTCCAAAATATAGATGCATCGTCCCTGTGGTTCCTGGTTTGAAACTTTTTTATTTGGGGGGGGGACACTCTAGGTGGTGCTCAGGGTGGATTCATGGCTCTGTCGCTCCAGCCCGTGAAGTTTGTTTTTTTTGTTTTTTTGGTCTTTTGGGGTCACACACAGTGATGATCAGGGGTTCTTCCTGGCTCTGCACTCAGGAATTACTCCTGGCGGTGCTCAGGGGACCATATGGGATGCCAGGGATTGAACCCAGGCCAGCTGCGTGCAAGGCAAATGCCCTACCCGCTGTACTATTGCTCCGGCCCCTCCCTGATGTATAGATTTAAAAACTGAAATTCAAGGGCTTGGAGAGCGAGGTCCGTAGAGGATGCAGCTTCTCCCACAGGAGGCCTGGTTTCATTCCCCAGCACCGCATGGTCCTCTGAGCACTGCTGGGTATGGACTGATATCCCCCCCCCCCCCCCCCCACCGACACACACAAACACACCCCACTCCAAAAAAAAAAAAATAGAACGAGCATTTTTTTTCATGATGAGAAAGAAAGGAGAAGTTACTTCCACGAAAAGGGTGAGCATTGTGGAACATGGGTCTTCCACTCCCCCAGTGGCGGCTGGCGCCCGTGAATACCCCACGGAACAATGCGGCCGGGCGCGGTCTGGGCACGCTCAGCGCTGGGTGGGGCCGGGCTCAAAGGCACAGGGACTCCTGCTCACCTGCCCGCCAGGTTGGATGGGTTCGCTGGCCGGTTCCCAGGAAGAGGCCCTGTCTGTCTGTCTCTCTGTCTGTCAGTCTTTCTGCCTCTGACCCCCCCACCCCAGCCCCAGGGGCCCTGGGTAAATGAAGTTCCCTTTGGATGCCTCTCTCTAGGCATGAACCCTACGGGCAGCAGTACCCGGGCCAAGGCCCCCCCTCAGGACAGCCGCCATATGGAGGGCACCAGCCTGGCCTGTACCCTCAGCAGGTGAGTGGGTGGCAGGCGGCTGGCACCAGCCCTCCGGGTGGGACACAGACTCCGACGGATGGGGCCCAGGGCCGGGCGCTCAGCCAGGACTCACTTGACTGCCTGGGGCTCCCAGTCTCGAGCCCTGAAACTGCCGTTTGAAAGGAGCATTTCGCCCGGGCAGTGTTGCAGAGCGGCTGGGCTCGGGGGACCAAGTGACGGCCAGATCTAGGGGAGCGCCTCTGCCAACCTGTGTCGTGGCGGATGCCGGCACAGGTCAGCAGACTGTGTGGCCTCGCAGGAGGGTGGCCCTGCAAGCAGGCCATGGGGTGGGCCCGACTGGGGGGCGAAGACGGGGATGGAGGAATGTGTGTCGGGCCCCCAGGGCGTGGCTGTTTCTACACGGGTGGGCAGGTCTGCGAAGATTCCTGAAGAAAATCAGTGAGAGGGGCCGGAGAGAGGGCCGTGAGCTAGCCTGCGCACCGCGGGCCCGGGCTCCGTGCCCCGCACCCAGTCGGCCCACCCTGGCCCTGCCTGGAGTGAGTCCTGAGCTTGGCCAGGTGTGACTACAAAAAAAAGAAATGGGCTTTTGGTCTGGGGAGAGGGGTCCCACTCCTCACAACACAGGCGCTCTGAAGTGGGAATCTTGCTTCCTGGGGCCCAAGGCGCACCCCTCAGATTCTCCCAATCGCCAGCCAGCGGGGACAGTGGGTCCCGAACAGGCTGTGTGCCGGGGGGGTGGGAGGGCGGAGGGAGGGGGTGCGGGGGTGCGAGACTCCACCTGGGGACCCCTCCCCGCATCAGGGCACGAGGCAGGTGCTGGAATCCAGAACCTTCTCAGCCGGGGGGAGCACCAGCCACGTGCCCACCTGTAGGCCCGGCCACACCGGAGGAGAGGCCGAGTCTGTGCCGGAATCCTCCCCCCCCCCCCCCCAGCCCCACGTGCCCCCCGCACGCGAGCACAGCCCTGGGGCCCTGGTTCGGGGAGGTTCTGCAGGTTCTGCGTGAGCCACCAGCCCCCGACGTGGGTGGTGCCCCCGGCCCCGCGCCCCCATCTCACGCGTGCATCTGTGGGTTTCAGAACTACAAGCGCCACATGGACGGCATGTACGGGCCCCCGGCCAAGCGCCACGAGGGAGACGTGTTCGGCGTGCAGTACGGCGGCCAGCAGCCGGAGCTCTACAACCAGTACGGGGGCTCCTTCCCGGGGCCCGAGCGGCGGCCGCTGCAGGGCCAGTACCCCTACCCCTACGGCCGGGAGCGCATGGCCGGCCCGGGCCAGATGCAGCCGCACGGGCTCCCGCCACAGATGCTGGGCGGCCCCCTGCCCTCATCCTCGGGCGACGGGCCACAGCAGGGCATGTGGGCAGCACGCAATGATATGCCTTACCCCTACCAGAACCGGCAGGGCCCCGGCGGCCCCGCACAGGCCCCCCCCTACCCAGGCATGAACCGCACCGATGAGATGATGGTCCCCGATCAGAGGATCAACCACGAGAGCCAGTGGCCTTCCCACGTCAGCCAGCGTCAGCCTTACATGTCGTCGTCCGCCTCCATGCCGCCCATCACGCGGCCCCCACAGCCCCCCTACCAGAACCCGCCGTCACTGCCAAACCACATCTCCCGGGCGCCCAGCCCCGCCTCCTTCCAGCGCTCCCTGGATAGCCGCGTCTCCCCGAGCAAGTCCCCGTTCCTGCCGTCCATGAAGATGCAGAAGGTCATGGCCACGGCGCCCTCGGCCCAGGTCTCGGGGCCGCCCCCGCAGCCGCCGCCCATCCGGCGGGAGATCACCTTCCCCCCCGGCTCGGTGGAGGCCTCGCAGCCTGTCCTGAAACCAAGGCGAAAGATTACCTCAAAAGACATCGGTAAGCGCGTGCCCACCGTCTCCGCCGGGCGCCCACACGCCCACGGTGCGCGGGGACCCTGGTGTGGACTGGACAGCGGTCCGGTGTGGGGTGTGGGGTGCGGGGGTGGGGGAGATGCTCACCTGGAGAAGAGCGGGGCCCGGAATGTTCCGTGATGGTGCCCAGCCCCGAGGTTCTGCCTGCGCCCAGCCCAGGCCCCACCAGGCTGGCCTTGGTGCCCACCAGTGTCATCTGCCGAGCGAGCGGAGCCAGGGGGGTGCTGGCAGGAGATCGCACCTGACTGCTCCTCGGAACCCGTGTTAGACCTGAGGGCCCCGTTACACACACACACACACACACACACACACACTTCTCTTTCCTGTTATTTCCCATCTCACACACACACGCACACACGCACACGCGCGCTTACACGCTTCTCTTTCCTGTTATTTCCTGTCTTTGCATCCCGATTCACCACGCGCCCCCGTTCTCCCTGTTCAGTTACCCCTGAGGCCTGGCGTGTGATGATGTCGCTCAAGTCAGGTCTTCTGGCCGAGAGTACGTGGGCTCTGGACACTATTAATATCCTCCTGTATGACGACAGCACTGTCGCGACCTTCAACCTCTCCCAGGTAAGCCTGGACCCCGCCCCCACAGCCACGGGCCAGCCAGGGCAAGGGAGGGGGCGGGGTGGGCGTCATGGGCCGGCAGGGGCTCCGTGGAGCATGCTGGCTTGCTCCGTGCCAGAGTCTCTGTGGGGAAACCGTGTCCGTGTGTGCAGCAGACAGCAACCGTGAGGAATCTCAGCAGTCCGACCAGCGGGGACCCGTCTGGAGTCTGAGGTTAGGGCCTCGGAGTGCAGACAGGGCTCACCTGTGTGCCCGCAGAAGCGTGTGCGTGCCAGAGAATAGCGTGATCTTCACGGCCAGCGCCCGCCGCTGGCCCCCAGCTGCTGAAACAGTGACTGCAGGCCCAGAGCCTGCCTCCCCCGCACATGCCTTTGCAGCCCCCCTTTAAAGACCCTCCCCCTGCTCCACTTGATGCTCAGAGACACTCCTCGCCCACACGCCCCCAGCTCCGTAGCCGGCTGCCACCGTTTCAGAAACAGAATCACTCACCAGCCCCCGGAAGCCGCCTGCCCTAAGTGGGGGAGTTGGTGGGGGGGGGACAGCACCAGCCTCCCTGTGCTCCCGAGGCTGTGGCACTCCACCTCCACCCCCCAGCCGTCCCAGTCTCTCCCGGGTTGGAGCCGTGACACCCACTCTGGGAGCCACGGTTGTTGCCTGGCCACTGGGAATAGGAAGTGGGGACCAGCTTGCCAGCTTGTAGGGAAAATGCTCAAGAGTCAACCGAGTCGCAGAATTTCAAAGGAAGCGTCAGAACCCAAAAGCCAGCGCCGTCACGGCCCCCATGTGTCTGTCTAGCTGGGCTGCTGGTGGTGAAGAAGCTGCCCCGGGTCCCACTGAGGCCAGGGCTGGGTCCATCCCCGTGACCAGCCCCCCCGGCTTTGTCAGCACCCAGGAGATCACGCTCAGCTCACAGAGCTGAGCAGACGGGCTGCTCTGACAGAAAACCCGCCTTGGGAGGTGCACCGGGAGCATGAAAACCTTCACCCTGTGTCAGGTTGAAGTGTGAGTCACAGCCCCAGTTGCCTCCCCAGCTGCCCCTTTGCAGGGAAAAGTAACTTTCAGTGGGGAGAGTAAAGACAGATCCCTCCTTGTGAAAAAGTATGCAGAATGGGCCCCCGCATTCCTTAGTCTTTCGAAGCCCCTCTGGAGGTTGGCAGCCTTGGGGTGGGGAGGGGCGAGTCGTGAGTCACCACTGAGAGCCCCCATCACAGCATAGTCACCCCCTGTCCTCCTGAGCATCCTAGGACGGTCTGGACCGCTCCCAACCACACACAGTTGGGTCGGTTTGCTCTTTGTTCATTGGGTTTTTAAAACCAAACACGTGTTTAAGAAAAAAAAGCTGATTCCTGATTTTCATAGTAGCAACTTTGGGTTTTGTTGGTTGGTTGGTTTTTGGTGGGGGGAGGCCTTTCAGGTGGAGTTGTGAAGCAGTGAAATGTAAGATCACATTTTCGGAAACCTAATTCATTTGTCAGGCACTAAACTGATTGATCTTTCGTTTTTCTGTGTTTCTAAACAACTGTGTGACCGGAATTATCTTCTCCCAAAGAGATATGGAGAATGTAAATTGGAGTAACCTGTGACTTCCGGGATAAAAACCATAAAGTCTGGACAAGGGAGTCTCGGCTGTATGATAGGACACACTCCTGGGGGCAAATGAGTTTCTACAATCCATGTCCCCACGGCATCCTAACCACTATATCCTCACTTGGCTAGAGGGGAGAGGCAGAGAGCAAATCTCCAGCTTAGGGGCTGGAGCGATAGTACAGCAGTACTTGCCTTGCATGCATCCGACCCAGGTTCAGTTCCCAGCATCCCAAATGGTCCCCTGTGCACCTCCAGGAGTAATTCCCGAGTGCAGAGCCAGGGACTAAACCCTGTGCATCGCCAAGTGTGACACCCCCCCCCCAAAAAAAAAACCCTCCAGCTTATCAGTAATATCTGAAAATGTCCAGCAAGTTTATGGTGCCAGAGCGATAGTATATACCGGAGAAGGCACTTGCCTTAAGTGCGGCCGACCCGGAGTCAGTCCCCGACACCCCATACGGGTCCATCCATCTTCCTGAGCCTGCCAGGAAGGGTCCCCGCGCACAGAGCCAGGAGTCAGCCCTGAGCACCGCTGCACAGTGTGGCCTCAGAGCAAACAAGGGTGAAAAAAAAAATCCAGCAAGTTTCAGGGTTGGTTGACAGTGTAGGAGGTAAGCTGCGGGTGAGAAGTATGCCACCGTGGGTTGAGTTCCTGTCACATCCGTCCCCTGGTGTGTCTCTCCGGATCGAACCAAAACCCAAAAAAATTAAGATGTCAGGAAGTGATCCTGGCTGTGCAATGCCAAGCCGCCAGGATTGGGGGTTTTTAGCCTTTCCTGTCACGCTGGCCGTGATGACATTGTCCTTTTTCTTGTTCTTCCCACCCCCCCCCCTCCAGTTGTCTGGATTTCTCGAACTTTTAGTAGAGTACTTTAGGAAATGCCTGATTGACATTTTTGGAATCCTGATGGAGTATGAAGTGGGCGACCCCAGCCAAAAAGCACTTGACCACGCGGCGAGGAAAGAGGAGGGTCAGGCCGAGGCTTCCGGGCGGGAGGACGACGACGCGGGCTGCCTGGACGAGGAGGACGAGGACGAAGAGGACGAGGAGGAAGACCAGGAGAAGCCGGCCCCGGGCGAGGAGAAGGGCACGGGGACCCCGCCCTCGCCCGAGGCCGCCGCCACAGCCACCACCACCGAGAAGCCCCGGCAAGCCAGCAAGTTCGACAAGCTGCCCATCAAGATCGTCAAGAAGAACAACCTGTTCGTGGTGGACCGCTCGGCCCGGCTGGGCCGCGTGCAGGAGTTCGACAGCGGGCTCCTGCACTGGCAGCTGGGCGGCGGGGACACCACCGAGCACATCCAGACGCACTTCGAGAGCAAGATGGAGATCCCCCCTCGGCGGCGGCCGCCCCCTGCCCCGCCGGGCCCCGCGGGCAGGAAGAGAGAGCCGGCCGGGGGAGGCGAGAGCGGCACCGACCCGCCGCCGCCGGCCCCCGAGAGGGGCATCGTGGCCACCATCGACGACGTGCTGTCGGCGCGCCCGGGGGCCCTGCCCGAAGACGCCCCGCCGGGCCCCCCCTTCGGCATCCACCAGGCCAAGAGCCACCGGAACATCCGGCTGCTGGAGGACGAGCCCCGCAGCCGGGACGAGGCGCCGCTGTGCACCGTGGCCCACTGGCAGGACTCCCTGGCCAAGCGCTGCATCTGCGTGTCCAACATCGTCCGCAGCCTGTCCTTCGTGCCTGGCAACGACGCCGAGATGTCCAAACACCCGGGCTTGGTGCTGATCCTGGGCAAGCTGATCCTCCTCCACCACGAGCACCCCGAGAGGAAGCGGGCCCCGCAGACCTACGAGAAGGAGGACGACGAGGACAAGGGGTTGGCCTGCAGCAAGGGCGAGTGGTGGTGGGACTGCCTCGAGGTCTTGCGGGACAACACGCTGGTGACGCTCGCCAACATCTCGGGGCAGCTGGACCTGTCCGCGTACACGGAGAGCATCTGCTTGCCGGTCCTGGACGGGCTGCTGCACTGGATGGTGTGCCCGTCGGCCGAGGCCCAGGACCCCTTCCCGACGGTGGGGCCCAACTCCGTGCTGTCCCCGCAGAGACTCGTGCTGGAGACCCTCTGTAAGCTCAGCATCCAGGACAATAACGTGGACCTGATCCTGGCCACGCCGCCCTTCAGCCGGCAGGAGAAGTTCTACGCCACGCTCGTCCGGTACGTGGGGGACCGCAAGAACCCGGTGTGCCGGGAGATGTCCATGGCGCTCTTGTCGAACCTGGCCCAGGGGGACGCGCTGGCGGCCCGGGCCATAGCCGTGCAGAAGGGCAGCATCGGCAGCCTGATCAGCTTCCTGGAGGACGGGGTCACCATGGCCCAGTACCAGCAGGGTCAGCACAACCTCCTGCACATGCAGCCGCCGCCCCTCGAGCCGCCCAGCGTGGACATGATGTGCCGGGCGGCCAAGGCGCTGCTGGCCATGGCGCGCGTGGACGAGAACCGCTCCGAGTTCCTGCTGCACGAGGGCCGCCTGCTGGACATCTCCATCTCGGCCGTGCTGAACTCGCTGGTGGCCTCGGTGGTGTGTGACGTTCTCTTTCAGATCGGGCAGTTATGACCCCCGTGAGGAGGCGCATGTGCGGTGGAGGCCCGGGCTCCCGGGTCCCTGGCTCTTTTCTGTTCTCGTTCATCCAGCGTAGAAAGAAGGAAGAGAAAAAACAACAACAGCAACAACAACTACAAAAAAAAAACAAAAAACAACAACAAAGAATCTTTGCTCCTCTGCCCCATTCACTATTTACCAATTGGGAATTAAAGAAATAATTCGAACAGTGATGAAATTACTATTTGCCGTCTGTGTGTATAAGTACATCCTTTTGGGTTTGTTGTTTTTATTTGGCGGGGGAGGGGGGGTGTTTTTTTTTGTTTGTTTGTTTCTGTTTTTTTTTGGGGGGGTGTTTTGTTTTGTTTTGTTTTTTTAACCAAAGTTGCTGTCTAGTGCATTCAAAGGTCACTTTTTGTTTTTCACGGATTTTTTTTTTCCTTTTTAATGTTCTTTTCCATGTTGTATTGCATTTGGGGTGGGGGGAGGGAGCAAATTGACTTGAAAGTCATGGTAAAAAGATGCTCAGATGGGGGGGGACGTCACCATACTGAGGCCAAAAAGCGAAGAGAGAAACGAAATGAAACGAAACAAAAAATATATATATATATTCATTTCTTAGGTGTGTGATTCTCCAGATAATGAAAGAGTAAAAACTGTATCCCATCACCCAAAGCTCCGTGCAATAGAAACCTCTAGAGACGTAGGGAGAGGGGGCCAGGGGACGCATCGGTCAGCTGGGGAGTGACCCTGGGGTCTCCGAGGGGACTTGGTTGCCCGAGGCCAGGCGCGGCAACTGTGCAGCGCTGAGCTCAGAGAAAAACGTCCCTGACTGGGATCAGCCGGAAGTTGCTTCCTGACCACCTCCGCCATGTCTGCTGTCTGCCCTTTGACCTTCCACATGACAGCTCTTCACAATTCCTTTCATCATTTTTTAAATATTTTTTTTTACTGCCTGTGGGCTGTGATGTATATAGAAGTTGTACATGAAACATACCCTCGTTGTTTTTTTTTTTTTTCTTTTTTTCCTTTTTTCTTTTTGGTGTTTTTTTTTTTTTTTTTGGTTTTTTTTTTTTTTTAGTACAGAAGTTTTAGGGGTTTTTTTCATGATGTGGTAACTACGAAGTGATGGTAGATTTAAATAATTTTTTATTTTTATTTTATATATTTTTTCATTAGGGCCATATCTCAAAAAAATACAAAAAATACAAAAATCAAAAACAAAAAAAAAAGAGAGGGTAATGTACAAGTTTCTGTATGTATAAAGTCATGTTCTATTTCGGGAGAGCAGCTCCATGAATCCAGGTGTGGGAATGGTTGCATATGGATTGATTTAGGAATGGTTACCAGTCCAGACAAAAAAAAGAAAAAAAAAAAGAAAAAAAGAAAAAAAATACAGCTAAAAGGAAGAAACACAACTTCAAAGATTTTTCAGTGAAGAGAATCCACATTTGTATTTCAAGATAATGTAGTTTAAAAAAAAAAAGAAAAAGAAAAAACTTGATGTAAATTCCTCCTTTTCCTCTGGCTTAATGAATATCATTTATTCAGTATAAAATCTTTATATGTTCCACATGTTAAGAATAAATGTACATTAAATCTTGTTAAGCACTGTGACGGGTGTTCTTGAATCCTGTTCTGGTCTCCTTCGGGTGGTCTTAGAGTCAACTGAATTATTGATGAGGTGGGAGCCCCTCAGGTGGGGGGTCCTGTCGGGGTCACCTCCCGTGGCATGGGCGGCCACCCTGGCTTTTCTCCAGTGACTGAGCTCACTTGGGCAGCACCGTTCCCCGCTGTGGCATCCCCTCCTGCGGGCCTCCTGGAGCGGCGCGACCTAGCCTGTTTGTCTTCTGTGTGCCTCAGAGCTAACCTGCGTTGAGTTCACTCCACCCTGTACGATACTTCTATTGTGCGGTGTCAAAAAAAAATTCTGTTCTATTGTATGTGGTGTGCCTACTGCAAACGTTTCTATTTCAGGGCATATGAACGTCCTCCGCTTTCCTCCCTCAGGTCCGGTTCCTCCCCGGGTCACTGACTGGCCCCCTGTGACAATGGATTTCTTTGACACGGCTGCAGACCCCCCTCAAACCCACCCTGTTCCCCTCGGGGGTGCTGAGTGCCTCAGCCGCCCCTGAGAGCCGGGGACCCAGAGCTCACAGGGGCCTGAGGGAGAGTTAGCACGAGCCAGGCAGCCCCCCTGGTCCCCAGAAAACCATTCTCCCTTCCACGCTCCCCAAGGGGGTGCCTTCAGCCTCCTGCCCCTTAGTCCCCTGACATAGCCGAGCAGCCAAACACACATGCTGGATCAGAACCCCCTTGGTGATGCTTCAAATACACTTGCTTGTGAGAACAGCTCTTACTGCTCTAGGCTTCACATCTGGAGATTTGTAAGAGGGAATTCAGTATGATCCCAGTTTCTCTGGCAACATGTGAATAAACGGTGTATCCAAACTCCGAAGTGCTCACCTAGCCCAGTTCTTTGGTCAGTCCAGAGTGACACCGTCATGAAAGGCTGTTGTTTTTCATCAGGGTCTGAGCTGGGGTCGCTGCCCCAAGTTTACCCCCTCGAGCCCTGAGCTTCGATGTCCTGACGTTCAGCCCAGAACCACAACCACAGAGGCCCAAGAACTGACAGCCCCCCGCCCCTGCGCCCCACAGACCTCGCCTCTGCTTGCACACCGCGCTCCTGCTTTGTCCTGAAAATTAGCCGGGCTTGATTCCATGAGTTTTTCCCGAAATGCACATGATTCCCAGGCTTTAAATATGGACTCCCCCCCCCCCACCACCACCACCACAGAGAGAAAACGGGCAGAGTTGCAAAAAAACTTTAGTACGTTAAAATGGTGTTCTCAAGTTGAGTCTGTCAGCACTGGATTTCTTTAAAATGTCACTTTGCCAGTCACGAGGGTCAGCTGGTGAATCGACCGAAACGGCTGATGTGTTGGAGGTTGAGGAGGATAGAAAACTGTTTTTGAGTTGGGTGAATGGCAACTCTTCTAAACTTGCTGGGTTTTACACATAACAATGATTTGTTTAAGTGGGGTGTGGGGAGTCTGTGACCCTTGAGTCCGTGAGCCCTGACGTGAACAGAAAATGGCCTGGGTCTGAAATTCACCTGTGGGAAAACCGTCGGAAATCTTCCATCTCCCGTTAAACCCAAAGTACCATTTCTGACCCCCGGTCGCCTGAGGGAAGCAGAGAAAGTATCCGGGGCAAGCTCCGACCACCAGAACAGCTTTCCCAGCCAGTTTTGTTCGTCTTTATCTGATCACTGAGCGCTGGCTTCTACAAGTTCCTCCCGCTAGTCCCGTGTTGTTTTCCCTTGCCAGCACCAACGAGAGGGTTTGACACCAGGACACAGTACATTTTTTTTGACCAAGATGTTATCATACAACCCAACTTTGTTCACTTGGGGTGTGTGGAGGACAGCGCTGGACTAAAAGTTAAGAATGCTTGGTCACGGGCTGGAGAGATAGCACAGCGGGTAGGGCGTTTGCCTTGCACGCGGCCGACCCAGGTTCAATTCCCAGCATCCCATATGGTCCCCTGAGCACCTCCAGGAGTGATTCCTGAGTGCAGAGCCAGGAGGAATCCCTGTGCATCGCCAGGTGTGACCCAAAAGGCAAAAAAAAAAAAAATGCTTGGTCAGCCTGGGTTAGAGAGGCAGTACCGTGGGTAGGACGCTTGCCTTGCACTTGGCCAGCCCAGGTTCGAGTCCCAGTATCCCATATGGTCCCTCAAGTACCTGAGTATAGTACTAGAAATTCCCAAGCATTGCCAGGTGTGGCAAAAAAAAAAAAAAAAAAAAGGCTTGGTCATATCTCAAAAGTGACCTTTCCAGAAGCTTCTGGAAACTTCCATGCACTCTGCAGGCTGGTTTTGGCAGGTCTCTCCACCCAAACTTGTCTCGGGACCTACGCACCCGGAGAGAAACACCGAGGCTGCCTGGGCCCCCACGATGCCGGCCCTTCAGAGTGACCAGACACTTAGGAACTGGCAGAGCATGTCCCACAGGCTGCCCAAGCCCAGCCCATCCCCAGGCGCTGCCGCGGCTCCCATCCACGGGGCCCCACTGCTGCTGCTGAGTTGACGTCACTGGGGACGCCGTCTAGGTCCACTGTCCCTCTCGCGCTCACGCTCTAAGGGCGGGAACTGGCCGTTTCCTGTGAGGTACCTCAGAGGTCGGGACTAGCGCTGAGATGGAGGAACCCCAAGAAGCAAGAGACGATCCTTGTGCACCCCCGCCCCCGCCATGAGGCTCCTTTCTGATTCTGATGGTAGGGACCGGACACCCCCGTGTCCAGCATCTCAGCAAACTGACGGACTCGAGCCCTGAACCCTTGTCTCTGCCCCACGTTGTGGCAGAGATGAGAATTCAGCCGAGGAAGCCCGTCCACCCCAGGATCTCCCAGCAGCCCTGGCACCGGCTCGCTTTTCCTTGGTTCTTAGAAACGTTCCACTCTTGAAGAATATCCTGCCTTCGCCAAGGGTCCCGTGACTTTTCTCCTTTCTGCTCCTCCCCCTTACAGTGCTCCCTGAACTGAAACCCAGATGGCCTGCCTGGAAGAGGGGAGCTGCCCAGGGCTCCCTGACCTGAGCCAAGCATGAGCTCAATACCTCTCCTGGGCTTGGGGAGGGATGCGTACGACCCAAATGCACGCACACACACACACACACACACACACACACACACACACACACACACACGGTGCTCTAACAGGCATTCCGCCCCTTACAGGATCTGGCCAGAGGGAAGATTTTTTTTCCGTTTTCATAACCACACTCTGGCGGGTTTTAGTTTGGGGTCTCTGGATGGCCTTGGGTGAATCTAGGAGATGTTGCAGACGGACATCTTTCGGGAGTGTCCCCACAGAGGGGTCGGGAACCTCGTCTTTCCTTCTGCAGGCCTGGGGTATGCATCTCTGGGTGACCCGTGGCAGGCAGTCAGCCCTGCCCTGTGTCTCTGCTCCCTTTTCCATCGGCTGTGTTCCCGGGGGCAAGGTGTCAGGGCTTCGCTGGGGGCAGGGGGCCTGGCTGTGGGACTCGGGAGGGTCCTCGTCTCCCTGCCAGCTGGCCCATGCCATCCACACGGTCGCACCCAGGAGCTCTGGGGCGTCTGACC